CAAAATGAGCAAGAACGCTCATTTGTACGTCATTCTAGAGAGAAATAAATGGCCTTTTTAGCAAGTGAACCATCGATAAGGAAATGTTGGCAGTTCTCTCAAAAAACGCTTGAATTCAAGAAGTTTTAGATTTGCCTGTTACATCTTACCTGTTAATTTCTGAGTGTAATCCACATTTATTTTCAACTTTTTGTGGATTCTCATTGTGTATTCGTGTAGTGTGTGCTTGTCGTGTTAGAAAAGTTGCTACCTTATTAATGTTTCTCTCTGAGTTACGCCCTAATTTAAACGGTTTTTGTATTCACAAGAGCACCGATCGATTTTTCTAATTAATTTTTTTTTACACTCAGTTTTTCAACATATTCACTAACAAGGTATTTACGTTGCCGAAGATCAGGTATTTTCAAGTCCCGTCAAGGTTTTGGTTGAAAAGTTTTCCGGGCTGATAAGCCGTCGATCATGGTAACACTCAAAATTGCCATTCGTGCCTTTCTCTGATCACTGTTTTTTTAGCTAGTGCTACTTCTGTATTTATACTATCTTGTATCCATAAAATGGTGGTGGGGGTAGAGTCTATCCCCACCATATTTTCCCAGACACAAGATATTATAAGTACAGCAGCAGCAGCAGCACCAGTGGCCACCAAAATAATTAAAACTTCTATTTACTTTTTACAATATATTTCATATTCTGTTTGTTGCGCTATCTCATTAATATTTTACACGACATTCACAACATAAAAAGTTCAGAATTAGGTAGTACCTATATTATTTTTAAACCGTCTAACAACAAATTATACATATTGATCCTCATACCAGATGGGATTTAGTGCAGTTTTGGACATATTTAATTATACTAAGCTAAAATATTTAACTTCTACGGCTGTATGCATCAACCACAAGGTTCCGTCAGAGAACGAAGTCTGTTGTTTGTTTAGGAGTTTTAAATCAAATGAGGTACTTTGATGTGAACATACATATGTATAAGGAAATTTTACAATGTGCTTAAGAAGTATGCGCTTATTCTAAGGAGATTTACAATAGTCGAATTACCAATAATATGTCTGGTCCAAAAATACCTTCACGGTGGATAATGTAAAGTGTGTTTTGGAATCCCAAAAAAGTAATCTTTGATCGATGGCTCTTGCGTAAAAGCAGTTGCTTAAGGAAACAAAGGCTTTCTAAGTGAGCTACTGACTGTATAATTTAAGACAAATTGGCAATACAAAGAAATGCATCTTAAGTTCCAAGTGCTAATAATAGTTAAGAATAAAAAACTGATTTTTCTGTGGCTCTTGAAACTAAAAATCCATTTCATGGCTTACATTCGCAACATTATCCGTGGCTTCGCGGTAGGTAAGTACGGTAATCATAATCTACTCCTAGCTAGTCGTTTTGCAATATAATACAAGAATAAACAGTGTAAAGTCACCCTGTAAGAATTCGCACGAGGAAGGAAATTTTAGGGTGAATTTATCAAAATATCGGATACATTGTTGCCAGCACAAAGACATCGCTATATTTTGAATCTACTCTCAACTAAATGTCGCTAGTTTAAGAAATGTGTTCTATACAAGACGATAATTATAAAAGAAAACAACTAACATTACTTAGTTAAGAGATTTCAATGGTACCTATATTAAAGCTATTTAGGGTTCAAATGCCTACTTGACCTGCGGTTGCCCACTGATTAATCTTCTGCTGATGGTTCGCTGAGGAAAGTTTCATATCGGGCGTTAAAAGATGTGACTATCCACCTAAACATTTTATCTCCATACCGGACTATTAGACAAATGAAATAAATGTGACATTGAGAAATTTCAGTCCTTTTCATTAGAGTCAAAGTGAAAATGAAAAAATGAAGTTTAATTTCCAAATACTGGAAAATTGAACTCGCCTAAATAACCTTTTAATACTTATTATTATTGAAGTAAACGTCTCTTCTCCAATGGTCTATGTTTTCAAACATGTTTGATTCCCTTCAATTTGGTTGGTCGATCGAGTTACTCGTCTAAGTATTATTGTTGCTGGACCGTTTAAGGAGTCTTTTGTATGCATATTTGACGTTTTCTGTTACATCAGACAGAGATCGACAGCGATGTTGGCAATAAACCAACATCAATATTGTTCACAAAACTAAACTTAGAATATCACGAGACCTTAACACATAAATGTGTCGTTATCAGATGAAACATGGGTATACAGGCCGATGCGCGAATAATTGTACAAAAATTTAAGCGAATTTTCTGTCAATCGGATGATTATTTTACTACACGAATATCGAGTCGTCTGTATGTCATATTGTTGCATCGATTGTTTGTTTAATGCATGGGCAAGAGTGTGCGCGAACAGCGTCAAAGTTTTGAAAAATCTTGCAGATTTTAGTTTTTTGCAGAACATTGCTGATTATCGGAAAGAGGAAGTTTATTTTGCGGTTTTGTGAGTTTTTTCGGGCCGTTAGTGTGATTGAAGCAATCAACATCGATTTTTTCAAGCTMAATTTTTTGACGTTTGCTGACATCCACTTGAAGTGGCTATTTTGACATGTAGGGATTAGTCATCAAGTACTGRCGGTTTTTAGGTTAMCTATCCCGTGTTATATGCATATKTTTACTAATCTGAAAAGTGTTACAGCTTATTACTYGWTAATTGTAGAAAATTGAACATGATATTGTYACTGATTTTGCGATAGAATGACCTAGAAATACGCTTAAAATKTATRGTAYATGTTASGTCKTTATCCAACACCCYGTATCTATAGGTGAATTTTCTAATAGTTSTAYMTGCTTCCAGTCTATTTGAWTTTAKATTGAATTAGACTCACAARAGCTCASARTTTTGCCTAACGCTTAAATTTAGCACACTTACTAATCCTTCATTAAAGCTTSAGTAAAATATTAAAATATTTGAATTAAATTTAGGKCAGTTTTCAAATGTTTGCCAAGTRATARTTYTGAAAATAAAATATTTTGGATATACCGATGCAAATAKCTKATTTATATAGTTTCAACTTCAATTTTCAATTTTTGATTTTTGATTTTTCAATTTTTGATAGTTTCAACATGATTTGACTATCACACGTAAACTTCGCTGAAGCTTCATCACTGAATAATTCTATTTAGACGATTATCAATATTGTTTTGTTTGTGATTTTAGTAAAGTTATTCGGAGGTGAAAATGATTAGCTTAAATTACAGCAACTTTGTGGTTTTCTTATTTAACTCAATATCATCCAGAAAACTTGATAAAAACGATTGTCAATATGTGTTGTTGATAAGTTCAGCTTAGTGAACAGACACAAAAATCATCATTAATGATGAGCTCAAAATTAAGAAAATGAAAAAATGTATATTCTAAAAGTGAAAATTTAGCGGCGTACCAAATTTTGCAAATGCATTTGATACATTGTCTAACCGTTATAAATATAATCCTTATTACTGTTTATATTTTGAAAATTGCGTTTAATAAATAAATCACCGGCCAGCAGAATTATTTTCAAAAATATACCTTTTCATCTTTATACAGCACATTTCACATAGAACCCTACGGGCTTCATCAGACATGGGTGGAATGTCGTTGCGTGTCCTTATGGATTATTTATTATTTTATTAGTTCATAATAAACGGCGAAAGCGACGTTATTGGAAGTTCGTCAATATGGTGCTTAATAAAGCGATCTTTCATGTATCCAACAGCGGCATGATTCCTAGCAGGTAGATCTGAGTTAATTATAATTTTTTTTCGAAAAAGGCTATCGACTAAATCGGTCTTCCTGCCCTTGCATTATAATTTGGAGAAAACCGTGTAAAAACTAACATTTTTTATTGATAAATATTTGTCAAAAGCATGAGTTTTTTATTATCTAACTTTTACATAGTAGATATTGCCTGATTCGGAGCTCGAAGGCTTTTAGCTGATGAAAGTACATGTTGACTAAACGTGAATTGAAAATTTCCAACTTGGCACCATTTCTTTATTCTTCTTGGCCTCGATTTTTCGATATACTCTTGTTGATGATTGAGAAAAATTTTGGGGGTAGTTAGAAGTTATATTGTTGATATTTCCGATTTGAGCTTGTCGAGAATTTTTCGAATGCTGATTGTAGGAATGCACATTATTTTTCAACTTGATGTAGGTAGGTACTAATCTATATCTAAATTTAATTTAGAAAAAACGGCGTATTTTGCGGTCGAATTATCAGCAATGCATGTCAGATCAACCCGAAAACGTTGATAAGTAACTCAAATAATTGAGATTAGAGTCCCAAACACTACTAAACCTAATAAAAATTGATAGTTTTACAATTATATGGTATTTAAAATGTCAAACAAATCTTGTCTTCTGCTTATCTCGGTTTCCATATGGAATGCACTGCATAGAAATATTTCAAAAATCCAACGTGCTTATGAGACAGTCTTTAGAGCAATTCGCAGTTTAACCATAAAGGGGATTTTCGTACAGCCACATCGGACCCTTACAAATGTAATTACTGTATTATGGCTCTAAGTCTTTCGAGGGGAAAATATAATTGTAATTATCGGCTATTTTCTTTACACTTCGTCAGTCAGCTGCCAACTTTTGCCGTTGTTCTCCTCATCGCCGTACGTTTCTGCCAATAGACACTCTTCAACGCCAGGTCCGCGCAACTGTAGAGTGAAAATCGTTTGGTATCCTTGTAGGGTCAGAATTACGTGTTGACCGTTCTTTGTTACTTCGCAAGCGCTGATTTTTCTTTTGGGGGTGTAAACAGCTAACAGTGTGCCTGGAATGAGAAAAAAAGTCATAATATCAATATAAACAATATTTTTGCCAATGAATATTCTTGGTTTTTTATTTTGTTAAAATTTTTTATTTTTATCTCAATTTCATACCCCTATTTTGATCCCGAACAAAAGAAAAACAAGTTGTGGGCTTGGATAGTGAACATTGAATTCAATCTTGAAACTGTCTTTATATTTTGTATTTAATCATGATTTTAAGAAGTAATACTAGGTTTCGTTACTATCTTCAACACAAGCTACCAAATATGTATAGAACCTATTATTATAGCAAAAGCGAAAAAGAAGAATTTTCTTTGCTGGATGACGCATCGTCTGTTCTCAATTTATTACGATTATTAATATTTAAATGTAACGATTCTTGAAACTGACTTTTATTGATCATTTTCTGGAAACTTTATCTAAGAAGGGCACTAAACAGGAGATATATTTTCTTCTTCCTTTGGATTTGTTGTCGAAACTTTTATAAAGTTTCTCAGTCAATTTCTGTATACATAAATGCAGATAAAAATATGAAAAGTCAACTATAGTCAGTAGACATTTTTGGATTGCCGTTCTTATGAGAAATGTGATAAAACCATTCGGAAATCCAGATAACGGTTTCCTTCGAAATTAGTAAAAAAATTAAGCAAACATAATATGAATATTAGGATTTACTCTTTGAAACTAAACCTGCCTAATTAGACTAAAAAATGCTCAAGACAAATAATGTAATGAATAACCTCCAGAAGTATTTTTAGGAATCAGAAATAAAGTTTATTAGTGTTTTAGGTATTTTGTGCCATTTGATTTTTCGATTCGGCAAACTGTTTAAAACCCTTTTTGAAAATGATCAGCTACTCATAATTGAATTTACCTTTATTGAGGTCCCATAATCTAATTGATCGATCTCGGCTTTCAGCATCTGTAGAAAGACAAATTGTTCCCGTGGGGTCTAATTTTAAGCTGGAAACTGGCGCTGTATGACCACTCAACGAAAATCTACAATTTCCTGCAAAAAAAATGTTATTTATTATTTACAATTAAAAATAATAAATAATTTTGAAAAACATCCGTACCAGTTATCAAGTCCCATACTAGAATTCTAGCGTCCTCCAGACCAGATATCACACAACCTCCTTGAGAACTGATCTCCAATGAAACGGTGTTACAGGATGGCTTCCATTTTTTAAACAGAGTCCCACTTTGCAGGTCGTAAACGACGATAAAGTTCGGACTTTCATCTTCGATTTCGTGACAAACGCAACAAACGTAACTACCTGGAAAATAAAAAATATTTTAAAATAAATAATTTAGTAAAATTCCCCTTGGAAAACAGAAAACAAAATACTTTCAGAAAAGTAGTTGATGATAGAAAATTATTTAGTTATTTTATTTTAGGAAAAATTAAGCTATCTAACGCTGAATTAACTTTTTATTCTCAAGCGACTGTTAACATTCACAAGCGACTAAAAACATTTCTTTTAACGCATTAGCACAGAAAAGGTATTTTTTCATTATTGTAAAATTTGCCAAAACAAAAATATTTTCATAATAAGAATTGAAAAAAAGTTGATCTTGATCTTGACAAATAAGCTAAGAATCGTATTTCTCATGTTGAACAAGTAAATCTAAATCACAAAAATTGCGAACTGCAGGGGCCGGCAAAACTGGCTTGAACAGAAAACTATTTCAAACAAATATTTGCTTTATTTCCTATACAAAAATCGATTATTAATCTCACAGTAAAGAAAAAGCCGAATTTTAGTTTATGCCATTTTCTGTATTGATGGAACTGCAACCCAACGTAACTCACACATAGTCAGCTGAATTGATTGGAAAGCGCAATTATAATATTTAATTTAAAGTTTTTGCATAGTAAATAGAATTACCTTCATAAGTGATAGCACTCAGCGATGTTATGAAATCATGGTGTGGTATTCTGAGATCATAAAGTAGCTTTTTCGATTTCAAATTCCATACTAACAGCGGAAAAGGCTTCTGTGTTTCATCGCCGCATACCAAAATTCTGAAACGCATTTTCTTACCAGAATTAAGCATCTTTTTCTACGTTCAACTTACCTTCCATCGCCCGAAACCAGCAGGGAATTGAGAAATCGGTCTTCACCAGCTTTGAAAGTCGTAACACAGTCACCTATTGACACGATAATTTAAAATAACATTTTAATAAATATGTTTAAAGTATACCTATTTCTGCGTGTTGTGTTGATAAAATTTTTGTATAATATTTCCGAGTTTTCATTATTATTGCCTTTTTGTACATATATTTGCGATTTTCAATATTTAAAACCCACGTTTATGCTTAGTAGGATGCTTCCTATTAATTATAAAAATTCCCGATAAACAGTAGACTAAATTGGTCATTGTTATTTTAAATTAAAACATCCCCCAAAGAGCGTTTTTTCTAAACTCATTTGTGACTTTTGCTTGTGTAATGTTTTTTTACCTGATTCTAAATTCAATAAATTTATATACATCCTATTTCTATGGAGAGCCACTAAGTGGTTCCTATCGTGGAGTCCGTAAAAAGGCATCTTTTGGTTCATGACTCCTTTGAGTTTCGTAACGAAGCTTCCCGTGTTTAAATTGTATATTCTCAGCTCTCTGCTACACAGCACTATACATTTGTATTCATCTATTGGTATAAGATTGGTTGGGTGCGGAATGCCATTCAGAGTTCTTATTGGTTTACAGCTAGAAATAAACCAATTTAAATGATAAAACATTGTTAAGAATACGTTTTTAATTATCGGTACATAACCGGTAAATGTATGACACACATTTTATTATTTTATTTATATTTGTAAATWACTTCTACTGAGTAGCTTTATTGAAGTTAATTTTACTTACTCTAAAATGTCCCAGACACATATTCTCTCATCCTTTGTTGATATTGTTACGATATATYTAATAGAATTCGGAATTCTCACTAGCAGATCAAAGTTGGTTGGATACTGAACTTCTTTAGCATCTGTTGCCTGCAAAAAAATATTARSATTCAAATCAAACYTGTTAGYGAGGTGATTTYTGAGCTTTTCCATTGAAAATGGTGTTATTGTTTTTTCGCAACTTTTTTAATTAAATTAAATCAAACTTGTTGGGTTTAATCATATCAGGTTAGTATTTTTCTTAGAAAGTGAATTTGGCAAATATWCTTAAATAAAAGCTMAAAAATRTGAACYATGTTRATTTGCYTTTATATTTATAATAACGTTTAGGTTGAAGATTTATTARGCAATKTACAAAGCAWTAACTGAGCTGAGTCCTAACTGAGTACACTATTATTGAAYTAWTATAAAATCTGAATGAAATATTCAAAACACTAAWAAGTTAMCWCTATTTATACACAAATATAYAAACAAAACCACATCAAATTAACAATTATTTACATWCATAAATTTCAATMTTTAACAATGAAATTGTTTTAGAAGAAAAAAWTTWGRAGAATSAGTRTAAACAAWATTARTTTATTYGACAGTTTATGTATGACGTGAAACATAAATTTTACGCTGTTTTTACAYTACACATACTKAAAGTATAGCAATTGAGATGGATTCTACTMAAAACGTATTTTKTTGTACTACCCAAATAATCGAACTCGAAATATGATTTAACTAGTTTGAAAAATGCACATTTGCCTAAAACCTGCATAWAAGMGGCAGTMTTTTTWCTTATTWGTRTTATTAAATATGTTTTTACAGTTAAAAAAGAAMRGYTGAAAAAAATAATTTTAAGTTTTTACGATTTTGTACAATTTYCCAGTCATKTTGCCCTTGTATTTCAACAGGCAATAATTTATCGGCAAAATTATCAGACACATATTGAAATAATCGAGTWTAAGTACCACAAAAAAACTAGATTCAWTTGAATTCAAAATCGAAACCGGAAGAAAATAATCAAGGAAACTTAAAACAGCTCAGCTGCTTGAAAATTGAAATTGTCACACCGCAAATAATCCAAAAATATTTCCTATGCCAAAAAAATTGTTTCTCACAGTTGTTTTAAACGTCTTTGACTTTCAATAATTTCGGCCATATTTACCTCCTTTGTGACTTCTTCTATTTTCAAGGGGATCAGCGTCAACACCGGAGGATTCTTGCACAACTCAAACAATTCGTCCTCACTTTCTCCTCGTTCCTTACTTTTCAAAAAATTGTATAGATGAGCATAAAACTGTCTCCCATCGTAGTTCAGGACGCTGGCATTATTTTCCAGATACTCTTTCAAGGTTTTAACAAAAGGGTTTGTTACCACACTTAACATGTTGATGTCCTCGAGTATTTGGAAGACACTGGAGCCATAAAGTTTGTCGTAGATCCACGTTACGTCAGACAAATAGGTCGACGATTCTAAGTTTTGCTTCAGGTAGTGGTAGTGGTAGGGAAGTTCGTCTAATTTCCGTCTGTTGTAACTGTAAAATGTAACGTTACTGTACTTAGGCAGTTGTCCGCATTTCGAAGTTAAACGGAACAAAACTTCTTCAAAAACTCATCCTTCATTCCAAATACTCCTTTTGCAAGGAGTAATGACTATGGATTTTGTTGACTAGTAATAATTCCTTAGTTTACCCAAACAAAAATAATCATGCGCTACTTACCTTTTATCTTTCCCTTTACAGCCAGAGACTATTAACACATTCGCTTACCTTTTATGATCGCACATACCCAACTTTGAGCTGTTTACAGCAAACTGTTTGACTTTTGCATAACACCCAATACAAAACTAAAACTTGAAGATCACTCTGTAAAGGGTCGTCGAAAATGTATCCAACATTACTAAAGCGACGTGCCTTAAGGCACAATTGTTTTTTGCTTTTAGCCTTCTTTAGTCGAACACTAGTTTATTATGTACTTTAGTTGTTGGATCTAACATTTTCAACTACCGATGAAAATGGAAACAAAAATAAAATAAAACCGTAAATGAAAGCTTTATTAAATCATATTTACATGCAAGAAAATCATAAAACTATAGTATGTACAAAATTTTAATACTCTTAAGAGTAAATGCATGTAGGTACAAACGATTCTCTATTTATTTCATAAATGATTCTATTGTATCTGTACTGATTTTTATACAAAGTAGACTATCAAATATTTTTTTGCTCTCGTCAAATTTGTTCTTATGATTCTAATTTTTGGATGATTTCAAACTGATCTGTTGAAGGAAAATTCTTGTCTAAACGATATTTTGTGAATTTAACTCAGACTATTTCTCCAGTTAGTTCCTTAGCGCTTGATCGCGAAAATTCTCAGGTTTATGCAGATTTTTCGCATTGATTTATTACCCTGATAATTGTGATAAACCGATTAAATTTTCATTGAAAAAGTCGCAATCATTCTACCGTGCATTATCTCTTAATTGTGTTACTACAAATAAACAAATGGTGAAAAGTTTAAAAGTGCATCAATCCTGGCATACCATTTTCCTAGATTGTTCTCTTGTGTCACTATGCGGGCTTGGAGGTCTGAGGGCTTGTCTTGGCACCATTTTCCCTGAAAAAGGAAGTTTGTAAAAAGCTAAGAGCTATTTAAAGTGATAAATAGTTATTAAATTGAGAATAAAAATGATTAAATTCTCAGTTAAAAACTCAGTTAGGTATTGAACGGGGGGAGAATTAAAACACCACAGCAAATAAAGTTTTTGTGCCTGCAAATTGTGCAGAAATACTGATTTGAAAAATAGAAAACGGGAAAACGGTGTGATGAAAAACTTGACAAAAAAACTATTTTTGCGAGGAATATAAAGCATAATCCAAATATAATAAATAATAAAATCAAACGCACACTCATTCCTATTTATAAAAAATATCTTTTTGTAAAAAAAAGTTTTCCAAAATTAAGACACAAGTGTGACGACGCTGCCCAAAATCAAATTATTATTTAAAATGATATTAGTTATTATTGAAAAGCCATTGAAGATGAACTAATGAGTAATATAATGGAAAGTAGGGCACATTCCATTTCATAAAACATGAGTTTTATAAATAATAAACACTTGGACATAAAGACCTTCAATGTGGGAGCAAAAAAATCAATAAAGACGCACGAACAATGTTAAAGGCGCATTGGAAATTCTCAGAAAAAGCCAATCCAACAAACACAACTGAAAATCGATACGATATATTTTAAATATTCTATTACAGAGTCAACCATTCCTTCGACCTTAAACCACAAAGCTTGCAACTAAAAAGAAAACACGAAAATCTAAAACTTCTTGAAATCAAGACTTTTTTGAGAAAACTGCCAACATTTCCCCATCCATGGTTCACTTTCTAAAAAGGCCATTTATTTATCTCTAGAATGATGTAAAAATGAGCGTTCGTGTTCGTTTGGCTTCCGAGAAATGAACAAAAACGGGACGGAAAATTTAAAATTTTGGCATAATCTTCCAAGTAAGTGTCTGATCTTAAAATTTCGATTTTTGGGTCAAAACGAATATCCACTGAACCTAATTTTCAATTCTCTGTCCAACGATGCCACAACCAATCATGTGGCTCAAATGGGGCTTGAGAAACTTCTCAAAAAGCAGCGTCATGTTTGAGTCGAGTTTGCAAGACTTTTTTGAGAAAGCGGCCAACATTTGATTGGCTTGGTTCACTTTTTGCTTCCGACAAATAAGCAAATGAAGCAGCGATAAAGATCAATAAATTGTTCCAAGACTGCAAAATGTTTTCAAAATTGCAAAGCAGGACGTTTATTTAAAAACGTTATTTTGGGCTGCTCTATGTAAAAAATATCTTGAATGAAATTAGGTATTTCCAATTTCGCTGGCGATGAACGCACTATACAAGTTTCAAAAACAAAAAAAAATAATTCATATGGAATATAGACATTTTTGAATTTCAATCCTTACTTACATTATAGTAGTCAAATAGGGTTTGATGAGCCCAATCCTTAAATTTGCTGTACCGCGAATGCACTGCTTTCTTCAGCATATCGTCTTTCCATTGAACGCCTAGAACACCTCCAGTCAGAGACCAATTAAGGAATGGTGCCAAGTGTTTGACGAGTCTCGGCCAGGCTAAGCAAGCTGGTGCCCAGGGTACTAAAAATTGAATAAATATGTTAGCTTGAGAATCAAACTCTCGAGGTACATTCTTCGGTACCATAAGTTGTGCGACTGTGAAAATTCTCATCAAAAGCCAAAAGGTCCAACATTTCCGAGTCAGTTACTCCATGCTTACTGCAACTGATCAGGGCCAACGCATGTTGAACTTGAGCAGCTCCAATTATACTCTCCAACTCCTCCAGCATGAAGTGGAGTTGATCTGGCAACTTCCCCTTCGGTTTAATCTCCAGCTCTTTGTCCACCCACCAAGAGGTTTGCCAGGCCAAAACCTAATTCATATTCCACTCATCGAGGTAAGGTAAAATTCCATATAGCTTACCTTGGAATACAAAGGAACCGTGCACAGTTGAACAGATTTCAGCACACAATCTTGGATTTTCGAATTGATGCTATGATTGTATTGGATGGCGCTGGACATTAGAATGTTCTGCGCTTCAGCTTGGCCCAATAAGGGCATACTGATGTAGCACTTTTCAGTCAGGTGAGATTTTAGATCGCTGTGCATTTGCGTTCCTAAAAATCACCAAATATGTTACTTGATATAATCGTCATCAGGATAATATGATCATAATTAAGTTTTTCTATTTTTTTCTACACCTAAATCGCTTTTCGGGAGTTGTTATAATGTTCACTTCTTTCTAAAATATTAATTGATAAACCGTTTCTAGTGATAACTATGGGACTGCAAAATTAATTTTCAAATCGGCTTCATAAAACGAAAAGTTTTCCGTGTTTAGTTCTGGTGAGCATGGTGGCCACCATGCAACATTTCATGTTTTCGTGGTTTTTTTTGAGTTGCAAAGTCCACTTGAACATGACGTTGCTTTTTTCGAAGTTTCTCAAGAACCATTCGATCCACAGAATTCGTTTTGGCATCGTTGGATAGAGAATTGAAAAGTCGATTCAGTCGTAACAACGTGAGTGAGGAAATTCGAGTAGTTTTGACCCAGAAAGCAAAATTTGAATATCACACACATAGGAGCAAGATTATCCCAAAATTAAATGTTTTTCGTCCCATTTTTGCTCATATCTCGGAGGCAAAATGAGCAAGAACGCTCATTTGTACATTATTCTAGAGAGAAGTAAATGGTTTTTTTAGAAAGTAAACCATCGATAAGGAAATGCTGGCAGTTTTCTCAAAAAATGCTTGAATTCAAGAAGTTTTAGGTTTGCGTGGTTTTTTTTTAGTTGCAAAATCCACTTGAACATTACGCTGCTTTTTTCGAGGTTTCTCAAGAACCATTTCAGCCACAGAATTCGTTTTGGCATCGTTGGATCGAAAACTGAAAACTCGATTCAGTGGTAACAAGGTGAGTGAGAAAATTCGAGTAGTTTTGACCCAGAAGGCGTAATTTGAATATCACACACATAGGTGCAAGATTATGCCAAAATTCAATGTTTTCCGTCCCATTTTTGCTCATATCTCGGACGCAAAATGAGCAAGGACGCTCATTTGTACATCATTCTAGAGAGAAGTAAATGACCTTTTTAGAAAGTAAATCATCTATAAGGAAATGCTGGCAGTTTTCTCAAAAAATGTTTGAATTCAAGAAGTTTTAGATTTGCGTGGTTTTTTTTTTGAGTTGCAAAATTCACTTGAACATGACACTGCTTTTTTCGAAGTTTCTCAGGAACCACTCGAGCCACAAAATTCGTTTTAGCACCGTTGGATAGAGAATTGAAAACTCGATTCAGTCGTATCATGAGTGAGAAAATTCGGGTAGTTTTGACCCAGAAAGCGAAATTTGAATATCACACACTTAGGTGCAAGATTATGCCAAAATTCCATGTTTTCCGTCCCATTTTTGCTCATTTCTCGGAGGCAAATGACCCCCATGACCCCCCTGGATCCGCCCTTGCTTTGTCTCCATGTTTCTTATCTGCAACTTAGAAAAGAAGATGTACAATCCATAGAAGGTCATAGTGTAGTTCAACTCTTCTTTGTTCTATTAGTTCAATTCTAAGCTTTGTTCTTTAATTTTTTGTTGGATGCCAGTGTGCCAACTTTTCCTAGATCTTCGTCGTTGTTTTCGGAAGATCTGGTTTGGAATTTTTATATTTGACATTCTTTGTTTGTGTCTGATCCGATATTAATTTCGTCTCCTTGATATCGTCCACTATAGTTCGTCCTATTCCCATGATTTGTCTGGTGCTTTCATCGGTAACTCTTTGCATTATTGACTTATCAGGCGTTATTTTTCAGAAGTTGATCGTTCTTGCATTTAGTTCTAGCATTGGAGAAGTTTTGGCACCCGCCTTTTATGGTCAATTCATCTAAAAAATTATGTCTTAGAAGAGAGTCGTGGGTAGAAGTTCTTGGACTTTTTGAACGCGAAACCTATAAAGCTTTTTTTATGCGACTGAAGCTTAAATCTGATTTTTCTTCAATTCTGTCTTAATGTTGAGTGTGCGCTTATCCAGTTCTGGTGTCTTTAACACGGCACTCAATGCCATTTTATAATACTTCTAGATTTTATGAAATATTTGAAAAATCTTTGGTAGGAATAACAGGTGTTATTTCAATCAATTAAAATATGTTATTTATATTTCGAACAAGAGTATTTTCAGTTTCTCAATGTTTAATTCAAAGTTTACCATTTCGCTCATCGTCATCTTCTTCAGGTTGCTCAGTTTTTCAGACCATTATTATCACCCTGTGTATAAAATGTGTTAAATAGAGTTTTAAATGCCACATTATTTTGCAAATACCTCAAAAAAACTATAATTTTAATACATGGCGACTAAATCAAGATGAAAATGTACCCAAAAAACCTGTGGCCAATTTCCATCGACGTTTATTTTCGAACACCCTGTAAAATCAAGTGTAAAAACTCACCTTCAGCTACCGACACAATCAATTTAACATTATCAGGCAGCTTTGTGGGTATCCATTCCGTTATCGTAGAACTGTACTCTCTGACTTGATCAAGCCCATCTAAAATTATGACCAAAGGCCGCTGAAGACTGTTGGCTGTTAGTATATTTGGCAGAACCCTCTTGTATTCGTCCATGCTCTGTTTGACAAAGTTTGCGGATTTAACTCAGACATATACATTAGATAAGCGAAAAAAACTCACGTGAGCGCAGAAACTTTGATGTCCATAAACCAGTATGGAACATTGGTTCATAATTGAGCTGAGAAGTTGCTCTAATGTGTTGCTTTGTGCACTGATTCCAATGCATCTCAGAACCAGGAATGATTCGGGTAGTTTAGTCGGACAGTGCACGGCTATTCTGGATAAGAGGGTAGTTTTACCACAACCGCTGGGTCCCACTATTATTACAGGGTGAGTTCGGTCACTTGTAATGTAACTGAAACCACAAATGAAAATATGTCTTTGGGTCCTTGAATTGTATTATTTACTATACAAGTAAAGAGCGATATATCAGTGTGCAGATAAGAGGCCAATATATGAGACTCGAATGTTACAAAAATAATAGCAGTTTTAGAATACTTTTAGTATTTAATGTGTTTAGAGTGAATCAAAACCTCTTTTTTTCTCTCTACTCGGTATTTCTCAAGATATTTGTTGAACTTTTCTTTAAATAAGTCTTTATTAAGGCTCATAGCTTTCAAAATTTATTTTTTACATAACCGTTTGATTTCGTTTTTTTGCGCTCTCTATACAGTTTGTTTTTCGATTAACTGTCGCAAATATTTTTGCTTTCTATCGCATTTCGCAAACAAGCATTCACTATCTTAAGCAGGATTTATAAAGTATTTCGCTTTTCGATTCGAATTTCTAACTAACTGATTGTTATTCCTTTGGAAACGTTTCAAATATTTTTATAACATTGGTACTTTTAAATAATTTCAAATAAGTAGAAGAATTATAATTCCGCTTAAAAACTACGTTTTAAAACAAAACAACAGCTGAATTTAGGAAGAAAGACCTTTAAGATGTACCGGGCGCCAAAATAAGTTGATGATGATCTGATAAGCTGTTGATCACTTTAAACGAAAGAGGCAAAATGTTTGCAGAAATCTGTTTTTCAATAATTAAGATCGGTAGAAACGTATTTAGAGCCTCTATCCACTGGATGGGTTCCAGTGGACGGAGTTTTATTTTTGTCGCGGAAAATGTGCAAACAAAAACAGTTTTTTTGCAACAAAAGTCGCGAATTTTATTTTTTAAACTTTAGAACAAAAGGAAGTATTGTGTTGCTCTTTGAATATGTTTGATCGAAATTAAGCTCATCAATATTTAATCGAACTGTTCTTGGCAATTTGCTTGCTTATTTTATTCAAGTGCAACACATTCAAACAATGTCCACATTTCTCCAAGAAAAGTTGAGCCATTTTTTCATTATTTTGCTTTGAAAGGCTGCAGCATTTGCAAAATAATTTTCGTAATTTGATACATTGTTCCGGTTTATCAAGGTTTACATAAAATTTAAAAGAATTTTTGGAAATATCCCGTAAGAATATAAATGATTACAGAGCAAGTATCTATAATTTTCCAGGTTAAATAAACCTTATTTATTATCAATTTTTGCAAATTTGGAAACGGACAGCAAATAAAATGTATTTGACGGCAAAAAAATACCGATTTGTGTTTTTATGCATAATAATTTAAAATCTGTTAATGAGCGTATAATATTTTACTTAGCCATGAGTGTCAAAATGTGCACTATGTTCACAGAGGTTTTCATTTTGAATAATAATTTTTTGATGGTTTTGCTGTTATTCTCTCATGTTTTCTAGCTTTGTCTGTTGCTGGTTACTTACGAGTGAATTTCCTCAATAGTTCTTTCCCTGTTCATACTACATTGAGACGCTTTTTGGCAGAAATAAGTCTGCTGATTTAGTTCCTCAAACAAACTCGCCTCGATACCGTAGCTGGGCCGAATCATGCATTTGCTTGTGTGTTCTTCAATAATGGAATCAATAGTGTTGTGCAGCTGTTTTTCCAGATGAGTAGTTACTGTCGAAATGTAGTCTTGGTGTTCGGGAATGTCCAGGTTGAGACCGTTTTCTGAGTATTTCACTTGTATTCGAACAATATGCTTTTCTGTGAGTTGATCCTAGAATCATGGAAAAAACTTTACAGTTACCTTAAATCTCACCAAAGTCTCCATTACTCCATTCAATCCCTTATCAAGCAACGGCCTGATATATTTACACTTACTCTGAGATCCTTCTGGAGCGCGTTAAGTCTTCGAATAGCTTCCTCTTCTCCCGGACTGGGGTTTTCGGGCGTCTTGGGAGTCGGGGTGTACACCCGATTCATCCAAATGCAGCGTTTTGCCATCTCCTGACTCATAAAGACCGTATTGTGCACTTCCTGAAACCACCTCACATCTGTTAGAAGCTGATGGATTTCCATGCTGGAAATACTAACTTGCTCAACAACCGTCGTTAAATAGGAGTCCCTCAATTCGACGGAAAACACTTTGATAAGCACAGCCAACATTTTGTCAACTTCGTGGGCCCATTCCTCGAAAGCTTTCTCTCGATCTTCTAGGGAGCTTTCGTTGAAGCCTGGAATGTGGCATCCGATTGGTCGCAGTCTGTAGCAGGGTGGTTGAGCGTCGCTGTCTAACATATACCTAAAAAACCAATTAGTAACTACCAACAGTCTCTTCTTTAAGATAATTCACACTTGCCATTTCCTTAGTAATCCTTGCGCCGTTTGGTTATTAGCACTTTCAAGAGTCATCTTAAAATCGGAGCTCTCAATCGTGATGGGTAAAAGTTGAGTTCCCAGGGAATTATTGAGGAACAAGACCGGGATTACATACGCCACTTCGATTTGCCCTAAAAAATCGCCCCGCTCAGTAAACGGTGCAAACGGGATTTTAGGTCTTACTGGTCAATTCTCCAATGCAGAGCTCAGGAAATTCGTGATCCTGCTGCTTTTCCAGAAGGGTTTTCCAATGCAAATCTACAATGTGCAGTTCGTAGCCCCTTGATCTGCAATATTGGCGTAATGTGGGGTAGACCATGTTGTGTAGAGCCCCTTTTTCTACTGTACAATCTAAATTTCAAATAACACACATAAACGATTGCTTCCAGTGTTACGCGTTAAATAAATATGTTATCGGGTTTTTACCAAAGAGTCTCGCGTGAAATTCATCTAATAGACGGTCCAAACCCAAACTAATAAAATTTAAAATTGTACACTTGTTTCCACCATACATTTATTCCTATTCCTTGACTATTTTGGCTCCAGTGAAACAAAAACAAAAATGAAGCCAAAGTATTATTGAAATGGGGCACTAAACGTTTTTTACATACTTTTATGTCCTATAAGATAAAATATTAATAGACATTTGGTCTATTAATATTTTAAAATTGAAATAATTGTAAAATTTGTAAAATAAAATACGTTCACACTTACTAAACAGTTCAACAGATCAGTTGGAAGATTTGATCAAATAGCCGAGATAATTTATCACTCCAAAGCGAGCTTTGTGTGTTGTTTTTGTGCAAAATCGTGTCAAGCAGCCTTTTGATTTATCGATTTTGAACTGATTGATCGTATTTAATTTGTTGATTACCTTGTGAATCGGCTGCACATACATAAATCACTATTTTCCTGCTTCTTAACGATGTTTTGGCGTGCGCTATTCTTCCCATTATAAGATGCTGGAGGTTTTCTGTTAGGCTGGACACCTCTTTGGGAACGTCTTCAGTCAGCTTCTCAAAACCTTTGGGACTTAGAGGCGAAGATATTGACATTGAATCTGTGAAGTAGTTCAAGTTTTCATCTTTGTAGCATTATTTCCTTTTGAGGAATTTTTAACCTGAAGTTCCTTTTATAAGTTTGGCCAAGCTGGGGTTCTTCAGATCAGTGGGCGGATAGCGTCCACTGGACATGGGCAGTGTGGGTTGTTGTCCCGCTGTATTTGGCTCCAAAATGACTCCACTATGTGGGCCGATATGGTTGAGAAGGGATTGTTGCTTTTCCGAATGAACCGATGTGCGAACTTGGTAACTAGCCGATCTGAAGAAATCAAGAATCATTCAAACTCAATGATGAATCATTTTCAAGTTTTTTTTAAGATCTTAGAAAACGTTTTATAAAAATTAAGGATTTTTCAAAACGAAATAGCGTTACCCACAAGCCGCCAGAAGCTTTTATACAGGTTTGTTGCTGTTATTAGTACAGTTACAGGCCAAATCTCAGTCGATGATTTTCAAGAGTAAAATATTGAATAAATCAGCACCTCTAGAGTGTTGAAAGTCTCAGCTAGAAATTGTTAATAAAGATGTAAACTAAGATGTAAAGAGAAATGTGATATAAAAAATATTCCAGTTGTTTTTTCGGCTTTAGCCGAAAAAGCATTGTGTGTGTGGGAAAAATCAGCTACAAATTTAAGTTTAAATACAAATTTTGGTAGTTGAATAATACGAAGAAATGAAAACTTTCCAATTTAAATAATTTTTGTTCAAGCATTTTATGGAAAATATGCATATTAAACAGATGTTTTTTGTGTTTCTCACTATTTGCATTAAGATATAAACTGAAAAAGTCCAGTGATTTAAATCATATGTCAAGCCAGTCTGCTAATTTAAATAAACGAATTACTAGTTTTTATCGGCAAATGTTAGCTTCAGTGCATTTTTTAATTTTGCGTTAGCTTTTGTACCATATTTTAGTTATACTCTAATATCTGGTTTTATTTAAATAACAAGCCTTCTCATAACATTTTTAGATGTTTGGCTTTGGATATTTAGGTCGAAAGATCGAGTTTTTCAAACATCGTTTTTTTGCTTGTAGGTCTCTTTATAACACTTCTTTCAGACATGCATGAATTTCCTTTTCATATTTTTTTTCTGTGATAATTGTTAAAAAGTGTTTCTTCATTTCCAATAGATCGAAAAAAAACAGTTACCTTTTTGAACGTTTCGTCCCGGTGAAAGGAAAAACTAAAACTAAAAATTCTGTTATGATGAGCACTGTTTGTCTGGGTGTGTGGCATGTTCAAAAATGTCTAAACTTGGTGTAAAAAACAAATACTATATATTTAGTTAAACATAATTTAGACCACATATAGAAAATAAGCTGAGGAAGCAAAAACAAGCCTTTCAAAAGGTATTAAACTAAGACTAACAGCAAAGGTATTTAAAAATTAAATTTCTAACGGCTTTAACCATTAGGCATGAGCTGAAAACCAGGATACGAATTGAGCACAGTGTATAATTTAAAAAATCTTCAATTCCTAATCTTGTTCGTTTGAAAAACGTTAGCGTTTCTCTTTATTTGGCCTCGGCCTAATTCCGTCAAGGCCGTTCCAGACCCAGCCTCCTGCAAAATTAGGTCACAACTTCCCGGATCGTCCCGTGACGTCATGGGTGCGCTCAATGACGTCAAAACTAGCGAGTATATTACATTTGAAGCGCTTTATTGACCGAAACGGTTTTTATTCATTTAGCGCGTCTTTCCAATTAAATTAGTGCGGGTTGTTTCAGTTCAGACAAGCCTTCCAATTGCATCGCAATCATAGAACTCTCACTTCTCACGATAATATTGATGAAAATTAACTGTTGAAATCAGGGATTTTAATTGGCGCAGTCACCCGGATAATCAATTCATCGTAAATGGAATTGCGCGGGGATTCTCTGGCAAGATGAAATGCTTTATAATCAAGTGCTCGAACCCACATTGTCCTATTTTACAACAGGAACTGATTTGAGGACAGGATTGTATTAAATGGGCGCGGTTAAGGACGCTAAATCCCCGGCAACAGTGGTTTAGAGGCTCCTAAATGAATAGTTTGGATCAACAACTGCAATGATCAACAATTAAAAAGACCCATTTTTAACTTAAAATGTTTGCTGGGAAACTAAAAATCACCCTTATTTACTTGCACAACACATTATTTACACGCAAATCTAAAACTTCTCAAAATCAATCATCAACATTTTGTCATCGTCAGTTCATTTTCTAAAAGGGCCATTTAGTTCTGTCTCGAATGATGAAAAGATGAGCGTCCTTGCTCATTTTGCTTCCCAGAAATGAGCAAAAACGGGACGAAAAACATGAAATTTTGGCTTGATCTTTGCACCTAAGTGTCTGATATTCAAATTTCGCTTTCTGGATCAAAACTACTCGAATTTCCTCACTCGTGTTGTTATGACTAAATCGAGTTTTCAATTCTCTATCCAACGATTGAAAACAAGTTCTGTGCCTCGACTGGGGCTTCAGAAACTTCGAAAAAAGCAGCGTCATGTTTGAGTCGATTTTGCAACACAAAAAACACGCAAATCGAAAACGTCTTGAAATCAAGACTTTTTTGAGAAAACTGCCAACATTTTGTTATCGTCGGTTCATTTTCTGAAAGGGCCATTTAGTTCTCCCTCGAATGATGAAAAGATAAGCGTTCTTGCTCACTTTGCTTCCGAGAAATGAGCAAAAAACGGGACGGAAAACATAAAATTTTGTCATACTCTTGCACCTAAATGTCTGATATTAAAATTTCGCTTTCTGGATCAAAACTACTCGAATTTCCTCACTCGTGTTGTTATGAATAAATCAAGTTTTTAATTCTCTATCCAACGATGCCAAAACCAATTCTGTGGCTCGAATGGGGCTTGAGAAACTTCGAAAAAAGCAGCATCATTTTTGTGTCCATTTTGCAATGCAAAAAACAAGCAAATCTAAAGTTTTTTGAAATCCAGACTTTATTGAGAAAACTGCCAAAATTTTGTTATCGTCGGTTCATTTTCTAAAAGGGCCATTTAGTTCTCTCTCGAATGATAAAAAGATGAGCGTCCTTGCTCATGTTACTTCCGAGAAATGGGCAAAAACAGGGCGGAAAACATGAAATTTTGGCATAATCTTGCACCTCACTCGACCATATTGTAATTTCATAGACAACAGAAGACTAAATTTCTACTACACGACCCCCCCTTGGTTTGAAAGCCTGGATCCGCCCCTGCTTGCATCTTCAGACAGGTGTTTTTGCTTGATAGTTCAATATTGTCCAGTGTAAGCTCAGGAAGAAATTCTTTTTCACGACGGTCTAAAAGACCGGCACTCATGATGATAAACCGACAAACTTAGAAAAAATTGTTCCATTTTTATTTCCAGTGTTAATGCAGTAACTTGACAAGCAATTTATCTGGAAAACGTTGATGTTCTTGTTATATCAGGTGCAACCGAGCTTCCCCAGCGGTCATATGGATTGTTGCAAACATTTTACACCATTTGCCTGATTTAATTTATGATTAATTTTTCCCGAAACCGTGGCTGTACTTAACACAAAGTGAAATTTGCGAGCTTTACTGAACATTGAAGAATTTTGTTCTTTCTACTGTTTCCATGGTTTGCATCATTCTCTAAAGTATTAGAATGATTCTAACATTTGCCATAAAAATCTGAACTGAATTATTCGATAAAAGGGAGGAAGTAAACAGCTTATACTTAGGATGCAATTAATTCTACTTACTCTTCAGACTTTTGCGACATGTTGTCCTTATCTTTGTCTTTGTGGCCCTGCCCACTACTGCACGAATTTCCCATGATGGAGAATGTTCACTCAAATTCACCTCAAATCGCGTTCATTCTATTGATCACCTCACTAAAGCGGCCACTGATAGCGATTCTTCATTTTGAATCTAACATCACTAGTCTTATTACCGAAAACCGTTTTACACCCTTACACATTTCCGTTTTTCTAGTGCTGACTTTGCAATAAGATTTATTATTGTTATTAGTTATTTGTCTGATTTAATTTATGAAAATTTTTTTGAAAATTTCTCGATTTTTATAGTCATCTCAATTGCTTTCTTCCTCGCGCATCACGTGAAACTGAAGAAATTACTAGTCTTCTTCTAGAATGAATCTAGTAAAATTCAAATGGTTGTTGAAAGTAGGTATTGCTTTTTCGATTTTGGAATGTGTCTGCATTATATGAAATGTGGAATATTTAAATTTTACGCAAACCACTTTAATGCTAAGAGATAAAATTACTGCCAATGGACAAGATATTTTCATTGAAAATTGGCAACAATTTGCTTCGCTACTTTGCTGACAATAATTAAGCATCTGGACAATTATCTCCTAATAATTTCCAAAGCGTAATTATTAACGAAAACATTGAATATTTCATGCAAGTCTTATAGTCCCATGGCACCTTAGAACAACTTCCATTTAATCTATTTCAACATTAACTCAATTATTGAAAAACCGTGAGGAAAAGAATTATTTTAAAAGAACGAATTAATATTTTTAACGTCTTCTAAAGAACCGAAAAGCTTAAATTGTCTTGATACAATGAACTCCTTCCGAGTCATTTTTGTGTTTTTAAACTTGTATTTAATATTACCTATCAAGTGGTACTTAAACAATTAAATTTTGACCGTGATTGTACAAAAAACAGTTTAAATAAAAATTTGATTGTGGAAACATGAGATTTACTAGCAACTACTCGATAATTTCATCTTCTTTACTAACTTTAAAAAAGTGTATTTAATATCTAGGTATCTATCCATATATCTTGTTTGAGAATCTTGGTAGTACAGAAAACATTTACTTCAGCGAGAGTTTTAGATATTCATTGATTTTCTCACAAATATTAGTACTTATCCAAATATAATAGACCTTCTTCATTTAAATTATACAAATAGTTATTTAAATTATATAAATGCTCATGATAATTTTGTGCAATCCTTGAAGGAAAAGAAATCAAACATTTCTGGGCCCACTTAAGATTTATTGCAAATTGACCCAAATAATTTTTAGAATTCAAATTTTGCAAAAAATTTGCTGCAAAATTATCAGAATAATGCATAATAATAAACATCACGTTAAAATAACCATCTACTCTGTGGAAATAAGCAAAAACGAAATTTGATCGGGTATTTTGACTCGAGTTTTAATAACCCGCCAATTTCAAACCTCCTTATGTAATTATAGTTTTTTAATCACTCTGTATACTATTGAGTATTATTTAAAAAAAAACAGTTTTATCTGATAAATGTAACTGAACCGGTGACAAATGCTTGTTTATGAGTAGCAAGCCAATTTTTTCGCGTACACGGAACAGTTACATGTAGATAAAAAAAATAGCTTTTACAAATCTTATTGCAAAATCGCCTAAATAGGACCTAAGGAAAGAATTATAGGGGAATTACTTAATTCGGCGACAAACAACATAAACAGCTTCGCAACATCACGGGTTACTCATGCAACTTTGCACCCTCACCGGGTCTCCTACAGGTTAAATATTCCAGTTTCACTCGAACCCCTTGTAGAGCGGTCACTTAACACAATTGCGAAAGAATTTCCTTGAAATTTTTCAACGATTTCGGCTCCAAATCAGCTTAGTTTTCCGCGGACGAGCGAACGAAAATAAATATTTTCCACCGGACTGTCGTCGGATCGGGTTGGCATGGCGCTGTGACGTCAGTGCGCGTCGCGACGCTCTTGCAACTCTCGTCGGCTCGGGATCGATCAGGAAATAAAAAAGGGGCGAATACCGGAGACGCTGCTACCAACCTTTACCGAGGGACTTTTTTACTTAGATGTTCAATCGGAATTTTTCAATCAAGTTCAAAATTGTCCCATCTTGATCCAGTTTGAAAGATGTGATCAGGTAGAGGTTTACACACATATCAACTTTTTCGAACACCGTTTTTTGCATTATTCGTTGCCCTGGCCATTCGTTAGCCAGAGTTTTGCTAGATAGAAAAACTCCTTTGAAAACTCATTTAATTCGCTTACAATGGAACGTTGAAGTTGGAATTGATCAATTGATTAAACCATTTTCGGGAAATGTTAAGTGAACTCTACAAAAAACCACGATATTTTCTTGTTGAATCTCGTAAGTTTCAAGCGCTTTAAAGTGCATTTTTCCGAATAGAAGTTTAGGTAAATAGATATTTTTCGAAAACCAGGCGAGATATTAAAAGAAAACCTATGCTTTTGCACATCTACTCTCAATTGAGTTTTCTGTAGGTAAAAATTTTAGCACAAAACACGAAAGCACAAACGTTTTGCACCATTAACAAACTGGTTTGACTAAAACGATTCGAAAATTTGTCAGTCATAAAAATATATTTACTTAAATATTTCAAAGGATGAATATCAGTAAGCGTTATGGTAATCTAAAAAGTAACTACTTTTATTTAGTTGAATAACTTAATTTAATATTTCACAAAAAATATACTTAAACTAAAAATCACCTTTCTCATTATAGCCTTATCGTAGTTGCTTATTGTTGTCTGATTGGAAAAATGAACTATTGCCCCATAGTGCTCTACATCAACATCAACATTAATTAAGTGATTAATACACCATTCACATTTTTCAATACTATATTATTTAGTAATAATGAAGTAGGATCGAGGACAACCTTCAATAGTTCAATAAGTTTGTATTAAATACTGAAATCCTACACAAAGCAATCTTTAGTCTAACTTCAAATCTTCCATCGTTGTATATTACAGAGTTAGGATAATAAGTGAATGTCTATTATCAAAATTTAACATACAAAGTTCCAAAATAGTTTACCACATGTTATAATCAGAATCATCAGCTTCAAAAGCTAAGAAGAAACTGAACAAGGTTCCGTAGACGATAAAATTCCCGGCGAGCGTTAGCCAGCAAGCCCCCCAAAGAATTACGCTGCCCCGGGCTAAAACGATCGGAAGGGCAAAAGAACAAACGAGAATGCCCATGGTGAGAAAAATTGCGGTTTCAAGGCACGAGTTACTCGAACCGGAATGATCCGAGTACCGTCTAGCCATCAGGGTGGGAACTGGTGCAAGCACGTAGAAGAGTACCACAAAAAATGGCCACCATAATCTGAAACACAAACAAATCTTTTAGACTAAGGTTCAAATAGAAGAATGGTTCAATATCAATATACGCACTAATGAGCCAACACTTACCCATATTGGGGTAGAGCGCAGGCCAAAATGATGAAAGTCATCCCCACCGAACCAGCAAATGCAAGTGAGACCAATCTGCAAATATTCCAAGATAGATCGCTGAGAATTTTTCTCAACTCTATGGAAATTTTTTTATTGATTACTCCAAAATTTGCTTGTTTTTGTATTAAGTTTGAGGCTTAGGATTTAAAAAATACCTTTCACTAGAGTTAACAATAGAATCTTGAGCGGCTATTTATTCCTTGAGAAAACTCACTGAAACTATGAATAGAATAAAAAAGTGAGATCTCATTTAATTTACTTAGTAATACATAAGCATTGGTTAAATTATGAACTAGTAGAATAATATTTATTAAGTAGGTGCAATATTAAAATAAATACTTACGCTAAAATAGATCCAAGAGTAGTAGACGAACACATGAAACAAAACAAAGAATAATGAATAGTAAATACTTGGACCAAAATGGACAAAATTAATACTCCAAATGTATGCCAAAGCAGCAACAAGGCTACACGTAAAAACTGATAATGGTGGAAAAATATACCGAAACGTATTTTAATTGATAAATAAAGACAATAAATGACTGAAACCCAGGAATTAATTTTGATTTGGAATTGAAACACAGTCAGGAAAGTATATACAAATTAGGTATATTATAAAAACATATCTCGAGGTGAATGAGAGTTAAGGACAATTCGCATAGTTTTGTAAATTAATTCTTCAAAGCTGTATAAAACATTCAAAAATTACATTAAAACCAGTAAGTACCTCTGAAGGAAGCTGATCCTCGTACACACTCCGTTTGAGTTTAATGTTTAGTTCCGTTTCATTTCTGATTTGCAATGAGTTTTATAACAATAAAATAATATACAAAAATACAAGCAAGCAAAAGCAAAAAAAATTAGTTTTCCCTTCGGTTTGAAATCGCTGGCTGATTTCAAATACTTTTGAACAAATTTTTCGGGTCAAAATCCTCGGGATTCTTCCTTATAAGCCGGGATCAATAGATTTGTACTTTCTTTAGCTCAAAGTTAATTAAAATTTGACTACTCCGTTTCCTTGTACATTTCTTCATTTATTGCTCTAAATAAGGTCGATGAACATAAACTAAAATTGCTTAAACAACTTCCAATGGACGTAACGGATAAATTTCAGTTCCTATACGTGTTTTGTTCTAGCAGTTTTAATTTTATTATTTTTTGCTGCTTTGCATATTTTCATTGCTTGTAGGTACATGTATCTGTACGTATACACACATTCACGTGTTGTACATGCAGCTGCACGCAAATCCCTGGAGATTTATCAAAGTATTATGTTGCAATTTTTTGTCATAATTGTTTTGTGTATTTCTCTGTCTTGTTGAAGAGGATAAGTACAGATTGTTTAGTTCTTTTTATAGTTACTTGGAGTACCTAAATAGGTTTCCACCCATGGGGAAATACATAAATGAATCATAATAATAGTATCATTGTAGCATTAATTTCGTTATACTTTCAAATGTCCATTGTTATCTAACAAGGATCTAGGGATATTTGGCGAGATTAAAATGCAGCAACTAACAGGGATTTGACTTAGTAGAGGAACACTTTAGCTTATTATCTGGGCAAAACCAAAAACAAAGACATGTTGCAATATTTACAGGCCTCGACTTCCAGTTGAAGTTGTGGTATTTGTAAACTTAAAACGGATGCCACAGTACTATCATTATTTAAAAAATATAATAAAATGTAACGCAACAAGAGTAAATTTCAGGAAATTGAGAAATGAAGGTTTGATTGAGTCATGAACTTAAGTGGTCCTAAAGCATTACTCACATTTAATTCCTGCCATTTTGCAAAACTTCAGTTTGAGCGGAAATCTCTAAATTTCTCTTGGTTATATACTGTTTATCTTTGTATCTCCGTCTCAACACTAGCATTAGTTAAATTCCCAAAAAAATTGTTAATAAAAATGTAAACACTAGAAATGGCAGACGTCAAAGTTAGATAGTGTCTACCGCCAGATGTCACTGAATAGGGTCTTTTGAATTTTGGAAAAGTCCCGAACGCATATTTTACTGAATATCAAATCATTCAAAAAAACCCGGATTTGTGACATTTTGGCCATAATTTTTCGTATGTGTAAAATGCAGAATATCTTGAAATTTAAATTTAAATTAAAAAAAAAGAAGTTTCGCCTATAGGAAAAGCAATCCAAAATTTAAAAAAATGTTTATTAGATTATTAGTTAAAATTTTCGAAGAAATCAACACTCGGAATGTTAAAATTTGAATTTTTCAAATTCCTGCGTTTTATATGAAAGGCATTTAACAAAGAAAGGCTCCTGCTTTGCCGATAAAATAAAATAATGCCGAATCATCTGTCAAAACGCATCGGTGGTCGAACCATTGCGAAAAGGCAACGTCATTCAATCTAGAGTAAAATAACGATTGTCACGAAGTTCTGCATTGTTCAAGCAGCAATTTAGGCTACAGATTGCGTTTAACTGTTACTAAGACTTTGTAGATTTATTCAGCGCTCGTCCAGTGAGTGTACACCGAGTACGAAATGGCTGATCAGCAAAAGTAAGTAGCCCCTTTGTCTCTGTTTACCCGGCAGGTCATTTTCGGGACTTTTTCACTCGATTTTCTAGTTTGTCATCATGGAGTAGAAGCTGTACTCAATCCCATGCTATTAATAAACATGGCATGTGTTTTATTAAGATTTTTTGATCGCAAAATGTAGTCAAGCTCCTGTGATTTGTAGTTGACACTATCAGCCATTTTAACAGGATTGGATTGGATGAATATGCTTACTAAGGGGATATTAATCATTTGTTTAGCCTGGGCTGTTTGTCACGCTTGAATATACAACATCAAAGTTCGGTAAAACTCCCAAGCAAGTTTTGGAAAAAAGTAGCATCCGAAAATCCTACAAATACCCAATTAGCCATTTTATCTACCAACTAATCAGTTTGCTTAAAGTAGCACAATTACCACATTGGTAAAATAATCATTATCAAATTTAAAACTTTATCTTAGAACAGTATTTGAAATGGCTTCGGTACCCGCTGGTCCCCCGAGATTGATAGAACCAAAGTTATTCTTGATTCGTTACTAAAGCCTTGTCCCATTTTCCATTGGTTGGAGATATGTCAATTCATACGACGGAGGACGAATTGACAGATCTCCAACCAATAGAAACCCTGTCGTATCATCGTACCATCGTATAAACGGATGCATGGGACACAGGCTTTACTATTCAATTTAATTTTAAATGTATCTTGTGATCTGAACTGCACACTAATACACAGTTGATAGGCAATGTATAAGCTCATAAGCAATTTTCACTAAAAATTATATGAAATTTGGTTTTAATGTACTTGATTTAACCAGACATTTTAAAAAACTCGAAAACAGCATAATACAACGTAGTAAAAAGTAATTTTCTGAGAATCCAAACTTAATTCATGTTGTCCAAATTTTTATAATTCGTATATAAAGTGAGCGTCTTGCTCATTTTGCTTCCGAGAAATGAGCAAAAACGGGACGGAAAACATTAATTTTTAGCATAATCTTGCACCTAAGTGTCTGATATTGAAATTTGGGTTTCTGGGTCAAAACTACTCGAATTTCCTCTCTCATGTTGTGATGACTGAATTGGACATTCAATTCTCTATCCAACGATGTCCAAACGAATTTTGTGCCTCAAATGGTTTATGAGAAACTTTGAAAACAGCAGCGGCAACTTTGACTCCATTTTGCAACTCCAAAAAAAAACACGCAACTCTAAAACTTTGTGAAATAAACACTTTTTGTAGAAAACTGCCAACATTTCCTTATCGATGGTTGACTTTTTTTTAACAATCCATTTAGTTCTCTCTGGACTGATGTAAAATGAGCGTTCTTGCTCATTTTGCTACCGAGAAATTAGCAAAAACGGCACGGAAAACATAAAATTTTCACCTAATCTTGCTCCTAAATGTCTGATATTCAATATTTTGCATTCTGGGTCAAAACAACTCGAATTTCCTCACTCATCTGGTGATGACGGAATCTAATTTTCAATTCTCTATCCAACGATGCCAAAACGAAGTATGTGGCTCAAATGGTTCATGAAAGAAAGTTCGAAAGCGTCGACTTCATGTTTGAATCGATTTTGCAACAAAATTTCTATAAATGTGCCATTCAGGCTGAAAGCGAAGTTGCTATGTAAAACGAAAATCTTGTTCAATTTTTTACCGCGGGTTTTCGTTGCTGGCACATCGACAAAATAATCACTCAGTGAATCATGAAATAAAATCGTAATATGATTAAAATATTTCACTGTTTTTAGTAGCAGTTAGCGACTAAAATATTGTAAAATTTTGTTGAACATTTAATAGCTTTCTAACTTTGTTAGATATTATGAATTAATAAAATTGAAAATTTATAGAGATTGTTTGTTTCAGTGATGATTTGGCTACTGCAATTCTGCGCAAAAAGGATAGGCCAAACAGGCTTATTGTCGAGGAGGCTGTCAACGACGATAATTCCGTCGTAGCTTTATCGCAGGCTAAAATGGATGAACTGCAGCTTTTTAGAGGAGACACTGTTCTCCTTAAAGGTAAGATTATTCAATGTTCAACAAAACCAGATAGATCAACTCAACCCCATAAGTGAAATTTTTTGTATGAACTTCTTTGTCATTGTTGGGGAAGATTAATCAGCGTTCTTGCTAGCTTCTATTCAAGAACAAAAAATTTTTAAATCTACTGTGAAAACTGCGTTAACACACATTCAAAATGCAAACTTTCAGGTAAAAGGCGCAAGGAAACCGTTTGCATAGTGCTTTCTGATGATACCTGCAGCAACGAAAAAATCAGGATGAACAGGAATGTCCGTAACAATCTGCGGGTCAGGCTGTGCGACATTGTGGCTATTCAACCCTGTCCTGACGTGAAATATGGGAAAAGGATTCATGTGCTTCCTATCGATGATACCGTCGAAGGTCTCACAGGGTGAGTTTCTCAATTTAAACAAAATCATAGCTGAAAAAATAATGCATCTTAAGTTGTTACTTAATAAAGGCGTTCTTTAGATGCTTCTTTTTAAAACTAATGTTCGACAGGAATGGACTTGAATAATTCTTTCCACTTGCCGCTCGCACATAAATTATTTTTCCCCAGTAAGGCAAATCTTTCCTAGTAATCTTTGTATACAGGCAAGTTGTTTGCCTCGGCGATTTCATATCGGTACTAGATAAATACCTACCAGATAACCTGATTAGTTCAATTTTGACAAAAACTGGCCATGTATGGTTTTTCCCCCGAGTCTTCACTTGCAAGCCGAAAATTGTGAGAGCACAATCATATATAATATCGACCGCAACTAAAAAGAAGTGTTAATGATGAATTGCCCCCATATTATTGTTCTCTTTGATTATTACAATTTTTAATTATGTCCATTAATATGCAAATTAACACATTTTTGGTCCTAAATGTAAATTTGTACATACGAAAGTGGTTGACCCCATTTTATTCGTCGAATGCTCCGTGTTGTGACAATAAGATTGCGAAATTAACGGATACTCCGCTGGTAAAAGAAACGCTACATTGATAAAGTGGTTAAATTAAATGCTTGTTATTTAAGTTTGAGTTAGCTTCCGTCATGTATCGATACTGATCATTGTTATCTAAATGGCATGTGTAGGAGCTGAAGAAATGTTTAATTATAAATTTGCCACTAGCATTATGAACAATAAATATATTTCTTATCTATAAACATATTTAGAAATATGTAAAACTTTGGCCGGTTTGGATTCTAAAATTTTTGTAGTAAACAATGATAAATATATTGAACATTCCGCAGATCAAGTAAAAAAACTAAATAACAAAGTAGTGTTCCAAATTTTTTAATATCTTGCTCATAAGGTTCAATTATTTTCTCAAAACTAAATAGACRACAATGACTATTAGTAAATAATATACACACAATATGATATAATTATTCCAATGAAATCGTAATTTCTAACATTGGCCTAATTTTTTTCCAGAAACTTGTTCGAAGTGTACTTAAAGCCCTACTTCCTTGAGGCATACAGGCCAATTCACAAAGATGACGTTTTCATAGTTCGAGGAGGCATGCGAGCTGTTGAATTTAAGGTAGTTGAAACTGATCCTGCCCCATTCTGTATCGTGGCCCCCGATACGGTCATTCATTGCGATGGGGATCCAATCAAGCGTGAAGAAGAGGAGGAAGCGTTGAACGCTGTAGGATATGATGACATCGGAGGATGCAGAAAGCAACTAGCACAAATCAAGGAAATGGTGGAGCTGCCATTAAGGCATCCATCACTGTTTAAGGCTATCGGAGTAAAACCACCCAGAGGTAAATTTTCCCTGAGACAATCTCGTTCAAATTTTTACTTTTTGTTTGAATTTAGGTATTTTGCTGTATGGTCCCCCAGGAACTGGTAAAACACTGATTGCGCGAGCTGTAGCTAATGAAACCGGCGCGTTCTTTTTCCTGATTAATGGACCTGAAATTATGAGTAAACTGGCTGGTGAATCTGAGAGCAATCTGCGTAAGGTTAGTATATATTTTTAGGTTGCATTCGAACCGAAACTAAATTTTTTTGTCATTTAGGCATTCGAGGAAGCGGACAAGAATTCTCCTGCAATCATTTTCATCGACGAATTGGACGCCATCGCTCCCAAGCGTGAAAAGACTCACGGGGAAGTGGAGAGACGCATCGTATCTCAATTACTCACCCTTATGGACGGCATGAAGAAATCGTCTCATGTAATTGTAATGGCAGCTACCAACAGGCCAAACTCTATCGATGCCGCTTTGCGTCGTTTCGGGCGTTTTGACAGGGAAATTGATATCGGAATTCCCGATGCCACTGGCCGTTTGGAAATTTTGCGTATTCATACTAAGAACATGAAATTGGCTGATGATGTGGATTTGGAACAAATTGCAGCTGAAACTCATGGTAAGAAAACATTTTATCGTTGCGTGTGCTTTACGAAAACTCTGCGCTGCTTCAGATGAGTGTTTATAATTATCTACAATTATAATTTTTACAGGTCACGTTGGCGCTGATCTTGCCTCATTATGTTCTGAAGCTGCCCTCCAACAGATCCGAGAGAAGATGGATTTGATTGACTTGGAAGATGACCAAATCGATGCTGAAGTGCTGAACAGTCTTGCTGTAACCATGGAAAACTTCCGCTACGCCATGACTAAGAGCAGTCCAAGTGCACTCAGAGAAACTGTATGTTCTAATTGCACTGTTTTCATTTTCCTTTTCTCATTAATTTTGGTTATCAGGTCGTTGAAGTGCCAAATGTTACCTGGGAAGACATCGGAGGTTTGGCCAGTGTTAAGAACGAATTGCAAGAGCTGGTTCAATATCCAGTTGAGCATCCCGACAAGTTCCTGAAGTTTGGTAAGTTTCGTGTTCCAGTAATGATTTGAAAGTCTTCAATTTATACATTCTTAGGTATGCAACCTTCAAGAGGAGTATTGTTCTATGGACCACCAGGTTGTGGTAAAACTTTGTTAGCAAAAGCGATTGCTAATGAATGCCAGGCCAACTTCATTTCCGTCAAAGGTCCAGAACTGTTAACCATGTGGTTTGGAGAGTCTGAAGCCAACGTTAGAGACATTTTTGACAAGGTAAGCTCTTACTCTCAATAGGTTATTGTCGACAAACGCACCGAAATACGTTTATTGTATTATTTAGCTGAAGTTTTTTTATATTATGATAATTTTGTTTTGTTTCCAGGCAAGATCAGCTGCCCCTTGCGTGTTATTCTTCGATGAATTGGACTCTATTGCAAAATCAAGAGGTGGAAATGTAGGAGATGCTGGTGGTGCCGCTGATCGTGTAATTAATCAAATATTAACTGAAATGGACGGTATGGGTGCTAAGAAGAACGTTTTCATTATTGGTGCTACTAACAGACCAGGTATTTAAAATTTAACTGAAGGATTATGAAATTACATATTTCAATTTTGAAGTGTCTGTTAAATTAGAATCACAACTGTTTTATACATTTCCAGTCTTTTGCGTTCAATACTAATTTGTCGCAATTCTATTTTCTAGATATCATCGATCCGGCCATCCTCCGTCCTGGACGTCTGGACCAACTGATCTACATCCCATTGCCCGACGAAAAATCACGCGAGCAAATATTCAGAGCAAATTTGCGCAAATCGCCTGTAGCAAAAGATGTGGATCTCGTCTACATTGCAAAGGTCACTCATGGATTTTCCGGTGCCGATTTAACCGAGATCTGCCAACGTGCCTGCAAACTGGCCATCAGACAATCGATTGAAGCGGAAATTAGAAGAGAACGAGAGCGAGCGGGCAATGCTGCATCTGCAGCCGCGATGGATGTAAGTACTAATCAACATAAACAGATTCTTTATAGTTCACCAGTCTTTAAAACACTATCAAGTATATATTCGGTTGGATATTAACTTAAACTTCGAGATTAAATTAACATTTCTCCTTTTATTATCCCATACGTGTCACCCCAACTTTGAACGAGTTATTTCTCAATTTCGCATAATAGGACAGGTCTTTTCTTGTAGTCGGGCTGCACACATCAAAACCTGTTGCATTTAATCGTATTTTTTTGCAGCTGGATGAAGACGATCCTGTCCCGGAAATTACCAGGGCTCACTTCGAAGAGGCAATGCGATTCGCTCGGAGATCAGTATCAGACAACGATATTCGTAAATACGAAATGTTCGCACAAACGTTGCAGCAGTCGAGAGGCTTTGGCACCAATTTCAGGTAGGGTGAAATTTATTTATAAGTCGATTTCTAAATCAGCGATTCCGAAACTGCACTTTATCATGCCAAAGTATTCACATCGGAGTGGAAACTATTTATATTTAATTGTTCGAGAACAAACAATTAAAAAAATATGTATATTACATTGTTTAAAACTAGTATACCTACATTAAAAAAAAAACGTCTTAATATTGTGTTCGGTATATAACTGACACCAAATTTGAAACTTAACCCGTGTCTTTCGTCTTTCAGATTTCCAGCTGGTCAAGCAGCGGCCGCTCAAGGAGGCCAGGCGCCTCCTCCGGTAGCACCAGGGGATCAAGCCAATTTCGATGATGCTGAAGATGACCTATACAGTTAGAAATGTCTCTTCTATGAAACGTGGAGAAAAAGGTTTTTATATACGTGTATTTATTTCAATACTCGATATTTAGAGTTCATCGGTTTACTTCATATGTTCTTCATTTATAGTTTTCAACTACAAAATAAATAAATGAAAATATTAAGGCAAATAGTTTTCAGCCCAGTATTTATAAGGATATTCTGCTGGGAAAACAACACACATACGTAATAATAGAAATTGCTGTTTTTTTTTAATATTAGTAGTAGAATATTAAAAATGCGGATTTTGAAAACAAACCCACATATTTTTACTTAATATATTCCCATCAGTGATAATGCGATCGTAAATTAAACGCGTTTATGTTCTTTCCAAAATACATTATGGGTTAACAAACAAGGGGGCGGAATAAGTCTACGCACAAACTAATACGGAACTTAGACCAAAAAAGGGCATTACTAAGTTGGATTATTTAATTTAAATGCATACCTGAACGATGTAGCAAACTCACCAACTGTTGTATCCTAGTTTCGTGCTAGTGGAAACTGGACTTTTTTTTATGGATTTCTTCATGTTGTTTGAAGCGAACAGCATCGAAGCAGTAGTAGAAACATACTTCACATGTGTACCACTGCTTTGCTGCATATGCTGCATCTTTTTCGGCGTTCCAGTGTAGGCTTTTGTGTTTATCCAACATATCTGTGTCATTCGTTTTGAAATTGCATTCAGTACAGGTGAAAACCGGCAAATTTGGATCGTACCCCAACAATGGGGGCCCGATATTTAGAGCTTTTCCGGCGTTCTGATATATTGGCACATTGGAACTTTCCCTTGGAATGAAATTACTCTCACATTTGATTTTTATGGTATCCAGTTCTACGTCTCCCTTGAACTGAGAAAAGCCAACTATAAGATCAAAATGACTCTCCTCCCTGGCGTGAATGTGTGCGTGATTTTTTAATGTATATCTATGTGATATGACAGTATTGCACATTAAACATTTATATGTAACGTTTTCTGGTTTCGATAGATCGGCCTGTTGCAAAAGCATATTTTGATCAGACTTAGACAATATAGCATCGGAAGAACTTTCCTGTTTGTTTATTGGGCAATGTTTCTTCTCCTGTTCACACAATTCGCTTTTAGGTGTATCTTCAAAACTTTTCGGTTTTTTCGAGCAAATATTAATGTGTTTTCTAATGGAATCACTGTCATATCTAGAATAATAATCGCACCCCTTATTCAGACATTTTATGAGCAAAGATGGTTTTTTTACATTATTTTTCAAGGAATCCTCTGCAGTCGTATTATCTGCCTGGTCTTCAACGATTTCTATCCGAATTGTTTCACTTTCATCAGTATCTATATTTGTATATTGTGCAATATCATCTTCCACAGCTTGAATATCTTCACTAATCTTTGGATCAATATTTATTGGATTGCTTTGTTCAGTTTTAATTCCATTGAGCTGATGCGCTATCAAAGATCCATTTACTAAAACAAACATTTTATTTATGAGAATAACTCTAAATAAATCATCACTTGCAATACATCAATAACTGACCACATTTACCTGGATTTTTCCCAATATCGCTGAATTGGTGTGTCACCAACAAGTGCACCTTAAAGCTCGATTGATTTTTGGATTGAAACAAGCAGTCAGTTTGTGGACATATGTAAACATTATTCGAATTATGCATTAAGCGGTTATGAAAATCTAAATGCAAATTATCAGTCGTTTCATATGCACACCATTCACAGACGAAACTTTCGCTTTTCTCAATTACCTCGTCGGTTTCAGTTGGATCTCTAGAAAATAATCACACCATCATACATCTTGGCCTCAATAATAAACCAAAGTTAAATTAGTGGTAGTAAAAAAATTAACGAGTTAATGAGAACATGAGTGATTAAGTTTGTTAATTATCGAGCATAAAACAACAACGCGGGCTTTATTATTTTTTCACATTTCACATTCACATTATATCATATATTTTAAAATCAAGGGAAATTATACAGTGTGATTTACTAGATATCTTAAGACCTATTTTATCATTTCCGTTCTTATTAATAGCTTTTGATTTTTCTGTCCAAACAGCCATATTTAAAATATTCTATGTAGAGTATTACTTACGAATCATCTTCATCATTGGCGGCATAGACTTCAATGAATTTAACTTGCTTTTGTAAATCTTCTAGCATTTCCATATCACTGGGAACCCAACCACTCGTCTGTTGTTGGTCAGTTGTTTGAATTGTTTCATTAGGTTTGCGGGTTTTAGACTGTTTCCTTTCATCCCTTATAACACCTATCTCAACTAAAACGTTGAAATATTACTTAGCGTTTATGAAAACTTGCAGTATTTTAAAAAAGCACGCCGAATCTTACAGCTGTTGCTTTTTTAGGAACTGAGTTGTTTCAAAATGAGTATTTTAATCAAGACCTAACAATCAATAATACTCACTATGATCGTCATTCAACTCACGATGCTGTGTTAGATGTAGTTCCAAATCATCTTCATTGTCTGCCTGAAAGCTACAGTCAGGCATCGGACAACCAAATTCTTCGGTCTCTTCACCATTTTCAGTTTTTGTTTCTTCTGTCGCTTCATCATTTTCATTTATTTCCTCAAAACTGTCAAAATTAATACTATGGATTCGTTTCAAATGATGCAGATATTGGGAGCGACTAGCACTCTGAAACTAATGCGCGATATTATTTATTTCACTGAATAGATTTCAAATCACTAGCCTAGTTAAGGATGCTAAAGTTTTATTATTATTTTAAATGCTTCCTTAAATACATCAAACTTCTTACCATGCCGCACCAGCATGAATATAAACTTCCATTTAGTTCAGAGGAATTATTGTGAATAATATGTGAAGATGACCATTTTTCGTTATCAGATGATGATGTCATGAGCGGTATGTTCTCCTCGATTGACTTCGTCTCACTGGAAATTGAAGAGATATGCGATAGAATAGAATTAATAAATATTCACTTACTAAAGGTCCGACTGTTCATTCATGTGTTTTTTGCATTCAGCCATGGTAAAGAAAGTCAAATCGCAGTGGCTACACTCGACCAGCCCGTTTTGTATTCGACTAAAATGCGAGCTTTTATGCTTCATCAACAGGAATGAAGTGGTTGTAGCAAAACAGCAAAACTCGCATCGAAATGTTGCTCTTACATTAGCAATATTTACTGCCTTTGACTGATGGCGCAGTGCTTTTGGCTTCGAGAAGCACCTGAAAAACCAATATATTTTTACAATAGATTGAGTCACCAACAAACAACAAAGATATTTTAAAACTTGTTCTAAATCAAATGAGGCATTTGCCATCGTTTGGAATTGTATTGAAGCTGTTTAGTAGCTTCTTGTTTACATATTTTATGTTCTTTTATTAGGTTGGCGGCTGATGCTTTTGCGCCACGAAGCTGAATATTTCAGCTACTAGTAGGAAGCAATATGGATCATCGCCGCCAATCGTCTCGAAAAATTCAACTAATAATAGATGTTTGCTATAAAATGTATTATAAAAATTATATACACCTTGATTAAATAAAAAATAGCAAAATGGCAACCAATTTTAACTGAATGAAACCCATAAAATGACCAAGGGGTAATTTTTTCCAGTAGTCATGTTAACAAGTGTAAGTAGCTGAAGCCAAAAACAGCTAAATACATTATAAGGCACGGACTAACCACCGCTACAATAGGAGGAAAACCATATATGAACTTAGTAAACTGCAGTATACAGGGTGTTTGGTAAGCCGTAGATACGTTTCAGTACAAAAATCCAACATCTCTTAAGGATGCACCGACTTACCAAATACTGTATTTATTTTACTGTTAATACTTACACAGCAAAGTGTCGCTTCAGAATAGTTCTCAAACCGGTTCGATATGAACACAAACTGCACTGATATATTGTGAGTTTTGGAGCGGAGTTTCGGCTGCCAGCATTGCGCTGGAAGTAACGCATTATTTACAGGATGTCCCAAATATAGCCAAATTGTTTAGGTATTAGGTATGGTAAAAAACAGTCAAATTCGTTCAGCTTTCAATCGATATTCAATAATGTTCTGGCAGAACATAAAAACATAAGAGTACTGTGAATATCAAACATAATTTTATTGCTTCATTGACTATGATTATTATAAATTGAAATTATTGAAAATCATGTCAATAATCTTGCTTTTCTTCTAAAGGATGAAAACGAGCTTCAATTGCAATGATTGCCAATTTACATAAAAACATATGCAAGTAGATGATCTTGCTTGGAAATTATAAGGCAGGGAGAAATTTCCAGACTATGTTTGTTTATGATTTATAATAAGTTATACATTTTTTTACTAGTTTATATTAGTTTTCGTTTTTTGCGCCATTTCAAATTTTTCAAAATTGAAACATGCAAAATCGTCTTACGACTCTAAAAGAACTATTAAAAACAGGTATTCTTTATGTTTATTTTTACTTACTTTTTTTCGTTTTGAGCACTTCTTACGTCGATCGTCGATATCATTTTTATTATTAGGGTTATAATCCAGGTCTGAGCTGTCCGGCATGATTTTTCATTTGGAGCGAAAATGTCCTCTAACAACAATGTGTTTTCCTGAAGGCACATACAACTTAAATTGCTTTTATAATTCCCTAACACCAATTCTTCATTCTATGTAAAAAAATAGGAAAGTTGCGTTTTGTTCAGTAATAATAAGTAAAAGTTTTGAACTAATTTTGCTTTTGGGTTCACCAGGGACCGGCTTGAACACAGTACTGCTCATATTTTTAATACCTTGTTTTAAAAAGACACAAACTTTTTTGAACATGAAACGTGTGTAAGAGAAAAAGGAGATTGTAAACATTTATATTCGATTTATGTAGTTACAAAAACGTTACAAGGACTATCATCATCTTGATTTAAAATTATAGAAATCTGATAAAAGACGTTAACTAATTACCTACAATCTTCCAGTAGACTTATTATTGCAATCTGGTTTTTCCTTTTAAAGGACAGTTTTAAAATTATACAAACAAAATTTAACCTAAAAGATTGACGTATATGAGTGAAGAAACAAGGAAAACAAACCAGATTGTTTTATTTAGTAGCTGAGCAGTGGCGCCCGGCTAGCAGCGTTGCCAACAAATCCTGTAAGTTCACACATTTTCCAGTATTTCTATTTAAATTTCTGACAAATTTAGAAAAATAGCCAAACTACCGCTAAACGGCTCGAGCAGCACAGCTGGTTCTCGTCTTTTCAGCTCAAAACTCTATTCTATCTAGCCTGTTCGTTAATTATCTGTGACGACTCTGTCCTCACCTCACTTCGTGACATTCGACATTCCAGAGATTTCACAGTTTGACAATTGTAAATGGCAACCACCCCGTTGTCATTTACAATACAATTTTTTTCTGTAATTTTCTCAATAAATTGATCTCAAAATGAGTCTGAAAACTGAAAAAGACAAGGTGAAACAACTACAGGATAAGTGCCAGTCGGTGCTGAATGCCCTGCTAAGGGATGAAGACAATAAGTACTGTGTGGACTGTGACTCCAAGGGTAATGTAACAAAATCAATGCTTTTGCTGATGATTTTATGTTTTTTCAAGTTCCACGTCATTATTTGTTAATAGTATGGCATTTCGGTATCTGTTAAGTCTTTTCTCAATTCCGCAAATTTTGCAACTGATCGATCCTCAACCTGGAATGCCGTTTGAGGTCCCTCGTAAGGAAATATGTTTGTTTAAACAACAGGCTGACTTAATATTTAAATGAACTAGTTTCAGAGAAATATTCATCGGCTTTTGTTTAATCACACTTTGCTCTTAAAAGACTTCAAGTTTATCAATTAAGGCCGATTTTATTGCTTTCTAATAGCTACAATAATCTTCATATTTTACTTTTAATCAATCATCTTTGCAGAGTCATTTTACAATTTTCAAGATAACCACCTGAGAGCATTTTATGGACATTTTGCAGTTAGAATTTGGTTAAAATTTAAATTATTTGTCTTGTAATATCAAAATGAATGTTTTCTTTCAAATGTCTGTGCTCTTTCCGTTTCAGTTTCAATTCAAGTTTTAGAGAACTAGGCACACATTTAAATTTTATCTTCCAGGTTATTTCGAGAGATTAGGCATTCTCATTTATGTGTTTATTATGAAAATTATCAGTGGGTCGATAACAAAACTAATGATATGTTCTTAACACAGAGCTTTTGTTGTTACGTTTAGATTTACTCGTTATTTAATGAAAGCCCATTATTTTCCATGCACCTAAGCGTAGTTTATAGTTTTCAAACTAATTAGGTATTTTATTGGCATATGAATAATAAAATACTAAAATGTAATGCCTACCCCTCAAAAAACAATTTTGCACAAATGAGTGTACTGTTCAGTCTAAATAAATGGTCAAATCTTAATGCCTGTGGAAAGTGCAAAAAATGCAGTCTATTTACATTTACTCACCAATTTTTTTAAATGAAACCATTTCTAATGCTCTTTTTAAGAGCACATCTCCATAAAGAAGGCATTAAAGAAATACAGTTACAGACTTTTCATCTTAATTTACGATAATAATAAGAAAAACGATACAAAAATAAAAAATTTAACCTAATCTGAAAAAAGGGAATCAGTAGTGATCACAATGTGTTTCTAGTAAAAGTGCATTGTTTTTTCGTTGTTTCTGTCTTCTTTCATTTTGTTCTAATAGGTCATAATGATTCCTAGAATGGACATGTTGAAAAAAATTATATTTACAATGCGGATTAGTCAGGCATAGAATAAGTCAATTTAATTAGTAAATTACTACCAAATTAGGCGCCAACATTTACTAGAAAGTCTTACTTAAACAAAGTTCTTAATAAGTTAACTGATTCTGAATTAATTAGTAAATTTTAAAAAGTTTTCGTTGCTTTAGGTAAATTTTAACTTTTTTTTTATTTTTAAATTTAGGCCCCCGATGGGCGTCATGGAACATTGGTGTGTTTCTCTGCATTCGATGTGCGGGAATACACAGAAACCTTGGAGTTCATATATCTAAGGTCAAGTCCGTCAACCTGGACGCCTGGACTCCCGAGCAGGTCGTTTCCTTGCAACAAATGGGAAACTCTCGGGCCAGAGCAGTCTATGAAGCAAATTTACCAGACAATTTCCGAAGGTAATTTACTACCGAATTTAATTGCAAAAGAAGTGTATGGTTTTAAATGTAATTAATCATCTCAAAATCTAGCTGTTACAAGTTCCTCATTTTGTACTTGAGATTGTTGTTCATTGATTCAAGTTGCCAATTTATCTAAAAAGGAGCTCGAAATATTTTAATATTTTTGTTTGAACAATTTATTTATTATAAATTGTCTTCAAGCAAGCCTTTACAATCTCATAATAACGAGTTAACAGGGTGTAAATTAAGCTTTGACTTTTGACTTTTTTCTCCTTATTTAAGAGCTCTATTTAAACTGGTTAAGTTTCAAAGCTTGCTAATTGTGCTTTCTCCTTTAATTACATATTTTCATTATCTATCTTTGGTAAAAATAGAACATGAAATACGTACTAAGTTTCATTTACATTGAACTTACAAATACCTAATTTTCCATTAAAAGAATCATCTGCCATACTCTATTAGAGAAGCCAATTAATTTCCTTAGTCGTCAATCGGTTTTCTCCAGAAAATAAATTAATTTCAATAAATATTAAACGCGTAGTTTTTATGTATTTTTGGCATCGTTTTTAAGGTAAACTTTATAAAGCCCAATCCTTAGATACTTTGTTTTGTTGGGCTGTCAATATTAATGTGCGTGTAGATAAAAATAAAGTTAAAGAAAGAGATTGCAAACCAGCTTAATTCAGAATTACCTGTGTCCATTAAAAAAGTTAACGCTGTATTCCAATTATTGATCAGATATTGAGGATAAAATGAGTCAAATAAATGAATTACATAGTTACATAAATCAGGCTGCATGTCCAACAGCAAGGCAACAGATCGAAAACGCAGTCATTGTAATTCATCGCCACCTTTCGTTAAAATATCCACTTGTTTATTAATTCATGATGTGCATAAAAAATGAAAGTATAGAAAGCGCAATTACCTCACATGTTTATGGTCGGTTATTATTAACGACGCTTTCACATAGTTTTTTCAACTGCTTTATTAGGATTCAATAAAAGCACGATTTTTTAGCTATGTGTTTGTTAATATTTTCAGGCCTCAGAACGACACAAACCTGGAAACATTTATTAGAGCTAAATATGAGCATAAAAAATATATAGCTAGAGAATGGGTGCCGCCGCCGCTACCCAAAGTAAATTGGGAAAAAGAGATCGATGAAGAAATCGAGAAGCAGAAACGGAAGAAAAAAACGACTTTAGAGAAACGACCGTTGGCCAATGTCGAAGTGCCACAGTTACCTAAGCCTACCAACCCGAGTCCTAAACCATCAAGGTCTGTCAGTAATACTCCCGAAACGAAAGAGAAGCAAAAGCAAAACACTAACAGCAGTAGCAAAGATTTGCTAGGTAAGAGTCACGAAAAAATCATAATACATTGATGTGAAATAAAAATAAATACTCGTTTTCAGGTATTAATGGTGAGGACAACTTCAGTAGCTTCATCTCAGCGCCTCCAGCACAAATCAGTAGTAACGCAGTGGTTGAGCAGGACCCGATTAAGAAGCCAGATGTAGTAGACAAGGCGAAAAGCGAAGAAGAAAGCTTCTTCAATCAAACTCTACCAGCAGAAAAGGAAAAAGTTAAACTAGACAAAGTAAGGTTCTTTGAACTGAAGGTTTTGCTTTATTTGCGTTGATGGTTTAAATTGTTGCAGGACAGTATTTTAGCTTTATATGGGAGCGCCCCCAAAGTAACACAGTTCCAGAATTCCATGCAAACGCCATTTCAAACTACTGCAGGTTTTCAACCAGCCGGAGCTCAAGCCCAACACGGGTTTGCTTCTTTTGGAGGATTTCCTCAAGCGGGACAGGTAACAGCTTTTAAAGGAACATATCTGGGTCGGTGTAAAATGACATACAATTATTTTTCAGGTTCAAAATTTTCCTGTTCAGAACGGTCTACCGGTCCAGCCTCAGTTCCTACAACAATCAAATGGCGTTTTTCCAAATTGGGGAAAAATGCCAAATGCTACGCAGTTTCCGCAGGCACAAGCTCAGGTAAAAACTCCCTTGAATAACATACAGTGTGTCCGGGTTAAGAACTTACCACATACCATTAAGAAAAAATCTAAAATTTACAGAAATGGAAAATTTCATTAGTCTATGTTTAGAAAAATTTAAAGTAAAACAAAAACAGTTTACCACCTAGAACCTACAATTTATACTGCAGTTTATTATTTAGTTCCGATAAACCTATCCGGGTTTTTTTGTTGCAATTAGCATATAATTACAATATTTGAACTTTTATTGCAGAATCAGTTCAATCCCAACCAATTTGGCCAGAGCGGCCCGTTTCAAAGCCAGCCATCATCAGGGACGTCCGTCCCTTGCCAGTTTCCCACAACGTTTCCCTCGCAACTTTCCTCAACGCATCCACACCACTTTAGTGGAAACCCTATCAATGCATCTGCGATAGGTAATGCGAACTTTGCGTCTCCCATGCCCGGTAATAATGCGGCATTTTTCGGCAACCAATCACTGCAACAGCAATTCGGCAATTTGACTCTGAACGGAGCAGCTTCTGCTGCGCCCACTCCTAATATATGGCAGTAGCCGCCAAGAGTTGTTAAGTAAGATTATGCAATGACTGATAATAGAGGATTCTATGGAAGCGCGAGTTTGGTATTGATGTTTTCTTTTTTGGGCAACGTTGCACTTTATAGGTGCATAATTCGTGGCAGTCTTCTACCATAACTCACCTGGTGACCAGGAATCTACAAATTGAGATTATAAAAAGGGAATTTTAGTTTTAATATGTCTTAAGTTTGTCAGGTATTTTAATGTACTTAATTATAGCACTACGCTATGGCCAGTTCGCCAGTATTAGCAAGAAAGTACAAAAATACTTTTCAGACTTAGTGATAATATACAGGGTGTTTCATAATGTGCGAGATGAACCTTGAAGCAAGCACAGTTGCCATTTTATAACAAAGGCCCACTTGCAGTAACATTAACATGTTATATATCTGGGGAAACGTTGCATTTCTCCGCTAGACAACTCCAGTTTTATCATGAATTTCCGATAGTCAATTTTTGTATTTTTATTTTACTTTATATGAATTAAAACTAATTTTCATTTTTTTGAACTTATTTTGGGCAACGTTCCCAAACTTTTTGATGAAATGTGGGATATCTGTCCAACCGTATTAATACGACAAAATTTACTTTTGCACTTGAAAATATCTGGAAATTTGCGTGACAAATCTGGAATATTATAATAATGGGTTTGAAGATTATGCCATGTTCTCGTTTTACCCGATCGCTGTGATATATGCGAATTTGGGAAAACTATCAATATTTTTTTCTGAATCATTCCAATATGATTCTGAACATGCAGAAAGGTGAATTTTTTTAGAAAAAATCTACAAAACATTGAATTTTCAACAGCATATAGTTCCAAAACGATGCGTTCGTAGTCTTATATTTATAAGACGTTGTAGCAATGAAATAACAGACAAATGGATATGGATGATAATAAATTACCCTTATGCCTTTGTCCATGGTATTCAGGAATTCCCTGTATGAACTAAAATACTGGTATTTGACAACAATCGTATACACAGGAAATATCTCAATTGCACACTAAATTTGCGAACTAAAAAATTGAATTAAAATGCTGGTTTTCGACCGGAATTAATTCGAGATTAGAACTAATTTTTTTAGTTATCATTTACAAATTGGCAACAGTTAACGTTTTTAAATGCAAATTTTAGCTAAACGCAGCTGACAAACCAAAAGATATTTTCGTGTACTCACAGTGACTTCATACATATCGAAAATGATTAAGGTAATAATGAACAAACAAAACCGTTCGAAAAGAACACTTCTTAATCATGTGCTCAATGAAAAAATATGGTGTTAATTAACTCGTAATTTCTTCTTTTCAATTGTCTTCCTAATTTTAATTTTAACACCCAGAACATACTATAACTTAAACCCAGAATAAGTATGTTTGTGTGTATGAAAGTTAGAAATGTTTCCAAAACTTATTTACCTAAAACTTTCAAAAAGGGACTATTTTCTTCATATATTTATGTCTTTCTAAAGCGTACCGCATATTATCATACACCCTGTATTACCTCATAAAACACATCTCATATATTTATGTGTAAAGTGAACGAATATGTATGGCCATTTATAAAATTTACTCTCGCTAATTTATTTTTGTAACAAGACAAATATATGAACCATATACAATCTTGGGCAATAAATTAAAATTTATATGCAGCGCAAAAAGCGGGATTTGTTAGAAATTTCCTTGATCCAACTGTTTGAATCTAAATCGTAGACATCTGATGTGGAACATTCATAAGCCATACGAATTATGTAGTTTTATATACTTTTTTCCTGCGTTATTTAGCTTTTTAAAGTGGATCAAAGAATGAGCACTCTCCACTTTTGGAAAATGACAAATTTACACTATTCTTGCCAAACATGAAATTAGGCAATCCGTGCTTCACTTGTGTGTTTGTCCTAGTAGATAGAAATCTATTATTGGAATATAAAAAGAATTTATAAATCTAGGGCTATATAGAAATATTACATGATATTAAAATGTTGTATTTTAGTATTAAGATAACATCTAAATCGATTTGACTAAAGAATGAATTACACAAAATAATTCATGGAAAACTCTATTTTCTCAGTGTAAAATTGAATCGGAATAGTTATGTATACCTTTAAACAAGATCCGTATTAATATAAAATGGCATTTGTTATGGTTAAGTGAGAGTAGCTGAAACACGGTAAAACATTAACTTTGCCACATTCTGTAGCTTGAATTTCCAGTAATCAAAATTGTGCTTGAATCTTGCCCCTTGAGGTTTTTATTTCTGCTTTATCAGTCAAAATTAAATGTTTTGTCTTGTGCCTTTACCTTGATGATTGTAGCTTAACACGTGGCAGAAAAAAATGGTTTTTTGAGATTTGTGAACCAAAAAGGGCAATCAGCAAACGCAACACACACTAGAAAATCTATTTACGATAATGTATGCAATTATTTTATGTGATTTAATTTATTGGTGCGTTATTAATCAGGAATTTTAAATTATATTTATGTAATTCAAACTGAACGGGATTAAGATATGTTATACTTACATAAATAAAGCGAACAGTTGTAGGTAATACGCGATCGTTCAATGTATATTTCTAAAATGTTTGTCAATGTTAGTTGGGTGTATTTTGTTGACCATTTATTTCAAACTATGTGCAATTGGGTTAGCATGTACAAGGTGTTCTGAAAAATTAGGGATTCGTTCGGATATATAAACGGGGTGTCAAAATAACATCACCAAGATGATAGTTGCTGATTATTGCTTGATACTTGAAAGTCGCTATTTTAAGGGGTCATAGTCTCACATATTAAAAAATATCGAATTATAGCAAGTATTTTAAAAGTTATTTAATAAAAGGCTGTGTTTTACAGATCTATATCTTGGAGGGTCTGTAGACATTTTTTATACAGACTTGTCCTTTTGACATTTTGTATATGTATCCGAAAGAATGTCCACATTTTCGGGGACACCCTGTATTATTCCTTTCATCAACGATCATTTACTGTTAATCGTTCTGAAAACCTAACGGGACTTTAAACGAATTTTAATTAGACCTTAGCCGTTAAGCGTATTATTTATTTATTCTAAGAAACTTAGTCCACTTTTGTAAATTTTGTACTTTGGTACGAATTATTCGACTTTATCTTTTTAATTGTACTGCATTGATATCGCCGATATAATAAAAGAAAATATGTAAAGCAAAAAAAGAGTGTTATTTATTAAAAATAATTGCGTTAATGTTTATTAAATTTTACATTAATGTTGATATTAATCAATGCAGGACTCCACCAAGCACCTGGTTTGCACCACTTGCTGATAGTAACGGCCGGAAGACTTCCAAGTCCTGGTCCTTTCCGGACTATCGTGGTCCACATAAATCAATCCTAGTCTTTGCCTGAATACAGCAGAATTGAGTTTTTCGTTTTGTTCACTTCAAACAACAGAGTACTCACGAGTATCCAGAAGCCCATTCAAAATTGTCGAGTAAACTCCAAGCAGTGTAACCAACCACATTAACCCCATCATCGAGAATTGCTTCCAAAAGGTTACTTAAGTATCCCTGAAATTACAATTCGAGTGGAAAATTATTTCTTAGACAAGAAACCAGCAGCTATGACAATCATACGTTGAAGATTCTATTGAATAAATGAAGAATAGCAAAGAAATGGAAATGTCAGGCCAGCTGAGAAAACCCGAATGAAGCAAAGGGATTGATGAGCAAGCATTTTAATTCAAAATCAGTCCGAAATGTATGCGTGTAACCCTTCACATAAGATGAGGATGGAGGTGGCAGGAATCTTCAATGTCTTCTAAATAATAAGAAAAGGTGATTCATTACCCTGTAATATCTGACGCGATCTTGATCATCAATCTCCCCAGTATCAGCCCAACCATTTTCAGTCACAAATATTTCTCCAGGATTGTATCGATCGTTGATATAATTTACCAGTTTTCTAATGGAGAATGGCACGTACCTCAGCCAGTCTGTTGACGACTCTGGCCAGGAGGCATCGCTAAAAAAATCGAAAAAGTTTTAATAATTGTTTTAGAAGAAAATGATGCAAACAAACATAATCTGTATATAATTGGAACTTGGGAAAAAATTACATTGCCCTACCTATAAAGGTGGTTTCCTTTGTCTGACCAATAATTGGGAGTACCAATATCGTCATCAGGCAGGTATGAAACGAGTAGGCCGGTGTAACTGAAAAAGCGACCGTTAGCAAGCAAAATTTAAATTCTTCGTGAGATAAAGCCGATCTTACATGTTCAAGCCGAAGTAATCAAATGTTCCTTTGATATAGTCGATCTCTTCTTCAGTGAGTTCAGGCAATCTTGAGAAGCCCAAACCCTCAAGTTTGCTCCTGTTGGCCACTCTCACCTTCATTACTTCGGGCCAGTCGCCCAAATATACTGGGTGAGCAAACCAACCAAACTGAAATGATTGATGCATAAATTGAAATATTCACTACCAACGATGTTTAACGTGTGGCACTACCAATGATGTAGTGTAGTGCCACATCCATAGATTTTTCATTAGAAATGTTTTTTTAAATACATATAAATATGCTCGCTCAATAGTTTGGTTTTTACACGAGGATGTAATACAGTGCAGAAAATGTTCACTTTTTTAATATTATGTTTTTAAGTTACAATTTAGGAACAGTTCCCTTCTAAATAAATAATTAACAATAAAATTAAAATAAAATAACAATAATTCCTTGTTTCTTGCTTTCCTAATTTAGATGGAATTTAACAACTGCATTACAAATAATTAATTTTAATGACTCTCTACAGGATGATCAATTATTTTGGATTAAATCGATACCTTCAAACTTATGTTTCGTAAATTAAAATAATATAATTTATTCCGAGAATATCATGTGTTCATCGCCAAACTTTAAGGAAACAAGAACCCATGCAGCGTTGATTATACCAGGGCAAAAACAAGCTCGAAAGCTAGGCTCAGTGGAAAGAAGACAAATTTGCCAATACAAAAAATATACAGAGTGGTTTTTTAGTGCGATAGAGTCCATTATTTCCGATGGTGTTAAACTTTCAAAAAATAGTTTCATATAAAAGTGGTTGACGCACAAGGTGTGCACATTTAAAAAATATCTTATATGATACAGAGTGTCTCAGAAAAGCGAGGCAAGATCAAAGAGTATTTTTTTAAATAGAACTACCCATTTTTCATTAGCTCATGGAATGCAGCTTCAAACGCTGCATGTGCACCGTAAATTGTTTTTTTCTTACTTGCGACGTTGGCAGATTATCGCCATTTCAGTAAAATTTTGCTTAAAAACATGGTCATCTAAAAATTAATTGTAGAAGCAAAAAAAGCAGACAAAAAAATACGTCTTTCCAATCACCACAGATCCGTTAAGAGTTCCATTGAACCAAAATATCAATTCGTAATTGTACAGGGTGTTAACAATGTGGACTTTAATCTAAAACTTTTTAACGCAATATAACTTGTTTTGGAAATGGAAGTACCTCTATATTAATACGTCATTAGATAGACAATTTACGAAGTTACAAATTTGCATTTACACTTTAAGATGTGAAATCAACCGCCCAGATAGC